ATACTTCTTAGTACAAAAATATGACTCATTCCTTGCTCTTCTTGATCTAGCATTAATATTAATTATCAAGAATCATCTGAATTTTATCTTACCTGTACCTTTCATTTCTCATTTCATTTTTCCATTTAACTTCTATTTTCCACTATTTATAAAACCTGAGCCACAACCAAAAAAACGACTTTCAATCTAAAAACCTGAAAAGTAATGGACTGGCCTAAAACAGTTGCCTGAAGGTGCAGCATAAACTCTACTACCTGTTGTTTGTTTCTGTCTACCTTTGTGGTTATAACGGTGACTCACAGTGGATAGAATACACACTGTCTTAATGCCGAGACCTGTGGCTATATACATCACGCATTCGATTGTTCTCCAACCATCCTTAGCCTAAAACCAACTGTATGTAATATCCAGATCACACGATGTCATACCTCATACCTGGAGAATACCCTACTTTACAGGTTCACACAGCCTTCAAACAATGGTGCTAAAACGGTGCCATCAGGTAAAGACAATTTTCACTAAAATAGGCCCATTTTTTTAAGGTTACCACACACCCAATGACACAACAGAGGAAGGAAGATCCAACAAGGTGCCAGTGACACAGTTGATAACAATTCCTTAGGACATGCAATTTTCAATATATAACCAATACTATAATAAGCATGCAACCAACACTCTTTTTAAAACTTTTTTCACCTGAATTGGAAAAAGCATCAATTGAAAACCCTATGCCAAGAATATACAACATGGGGCCCTGGATAATTCCAACTCTAGCAACAACTTCACAACTCACTCTTGACTGATCTAGAGCACCCTGAAGCCAAATTTTATCACTTTTTGCCATTGTATTATTAGGCAACTTGATAGTTATTTAACAGTAACTATGGCTGTATATTTGAGCTGCAGTGGCTTTGAAGACTGATACATGTCTAGTAAAAATGCCATGATGTGAATACACAATGTTTAACTAAACTGATAAAGAAATAGTATTGTTTAATTGTCATCATGATGATAAGATATGAAAGTCCACACATCATATGCACACACATGCACGCACACACACACAAATTGCATCACACACACACACACACACATACATACACACACTATTCACCCACAGTGTTTATACCTCCAATATAACTCCACTTGTGAGGTCATTTCCACTATCATTCTGCACATAGATATCAGCTAGGCAAGCTCTGGGAGAGCACTGTATCCCACATGCTTTTTCAAATCAAGAATTTTTGATCAGTATTCCTATCACGTCATACTTACCAGTATACCTGGACCAGCTATTATACCACAGAACAGTATTATATAGTTCTGTCTCATCAATGGAGTGTGTGGTTAAACTTAATCCAGTGACACTCTTTGTTAAGGGAGATCCTTAGTGCCTTAAAAAAGTAGAATTTGATATACTCTTAAACTTGAGGACTGATGATAAAATGTACGAATTAAATTAGCTGCTAACAAATATAGCAAAATATACCAGGGACTGATTGAAACACACCAGACCAGAAAAAACATGTAATATGTTATAATAATAATGCAACATACGAAATGGAGTTCCATTAAAAATAAATACAATTTTGCCTACCTGGTACAGTCAGTACTTCAAAGATCAAAAGAAAAAAGTTTCAGGATGCAAAGTCAATTAAAAGTCTTCCTTCTCAAAACATTTGTGAACTAGGCTGCACAAGAAACACTAACAAGCCAATCAAAATTCAAATCATTTGTTGACGTTGAAAGCCACCACCCTTAAAATCACACCAACGGGACAGAAATACAAATGGCCTCCATTGAAAAAAGCAAATTAAAAGGTCTAACCTGAGTGGGACAAAAGGTGAAATTAGGTGAAATACATTTCAGCAGGCTTTTTTTATGATAGCAAATAATACAAAATCTTGCCCTTAGGTAAGAATTGGATATTTTTATTTGCCTCTGTGCTTGAAATATCAATCTTATATTGGCCTTAGTCAGTTATCCTTCCAAAATGACACAAACTATCAAATAGGCCAAATGCAAGGTGGTTGTTTTGTATTTTTTTTTTTCTGAATGAAACATGTGAACCTTTATCTTGATCTGAATCATTCATATAAAGTTTGGCTAAAATGTCTTGTTTTACAAATAGAGAATGTTTAATAGTTAGGTAAACAAAGTTTTATTCCATGTTCAGTCATGCACAGTTCCTAAAACATTTTAATTCTAAAAAATAATCAAACTCAATGACTATAAACTATTGACCAAAATCAATGGATATACAGTCAAGGTCCCCTATCTGGCACAGTCAAAGGTCACAGTAAAGAGTTTACTCAGGTGTTTGGATATTACCTGTTTTCAACGGTGATTTCAAACATTAGAACTGGGCAAACATATTGTTTAACTTCCTTTTACCTTTTATCACAAATTTACTTGGACTTTTCTGGGCCATTGGCTGAGTAGAAACTTAGGACTTAAGGTACTCTCTCTCTCTCTTGAACTGAATTAAAACAAAGTCTCTAGACTTAAAAATAAAAATTTTTTAAGTCTGGCTGAGAATCTACCTTAATTTATATAAGTGCACTCTTCAAAGGTCGATCAGAACTGAGCAAAATATATAGTATTTACTTGATGTAAGAGTTTTACAACATATAGTAAATACTAGACCATGGCCGATCTCTTCACTGCTGCTCACTTTTCTTTACACTAAATACTTCCTATAGAACCAATACAACATGGGGGGTGGGGAGTGGAAGGGGGCAGGAGGAGGTTGGAGGGAGAGAGGAAGTCAAGGAGGGGTTAGGCTCTGTCGCAGCAATGAGCCATTTTCGATCATGTTCTGATAGCAGCCTCGAACATGAAGGTCCTGGGCCATAGACATAAGACATGCATTGTTAACATCTCACATCAAGTGTACATTTAATACATCACAAAATACTTCCAACCTCAAGGCACACTCCAGGTATGAACACATTCTCCAGCTTAATAAATACCTGAGAACCAACTTACAGCTAGCTTTGGTTTGAGCTCTGTAAATATAGACGCATGTTATCATATATGAATGAGCATGGATAATATTTTCAAAGCAGGTGTGCTGCATAGTTTTCCCTACAGCATTGATCTAATGCCAGCCTGGCTTCACTGTGAAGGCTGTCATGGTTGACCCTGGTCTGAGTAAACAGGAGCCAGACTCATTGACCAGAAAAACTGATTTTATCAAAAGGTTGGCTGGTAATGCAATGTAAATGTGTTTGCACTGGGTCGCAGCACATGTAGTTATGAATAATGTTTCATAAGCTTTAATATAAGGACCTGTATATTGATTTAGGAATTTATTCTCTTTGGGGTGGGCTTTCTATCATATATTAGTTCTCTCTCTTGATACTACACCAGATTCAAATCATATGCCCCCACCCCCTTTTTTAGACAAACGAGTGAAACATAAGAATGTCGGTATGTACAAAAGTTTAAAACCATACATGAAAAGCATCATTTGTTCTAATTCAGTACTTATTGATTGTCATACCTTTCACTCTGGTAAAATAAATTTAATGAGAAAACATATTTAAAATTATGAAGTTTTCAGTAATCTCGACAGAGTACATAATTTCACAGACATTAGTCTACTAGAACTTTATTTGACTAAAAGCTTATCATTAATTAGACTAAAAGCTTTATCAAGGCAGGACTCTTCAGGGGTTTGGCTTTATATAAATTAGTTGCAATATAAAGAAATGCACTGAAAACACAGCTAACCATGAAGATACAAGTGATTTGAGGTTGGTACAGATGTTTAATGGCATTTTTATCATCAGATTTGATCTTAACCCACATACAGCATCTGAAACAATTTGTGATTTCATCATTTGTGAAAACGACAAGATGATATCATGAAGATTCTATGATAACCAGGCAGATGATAATGATGATCAGATGATTTATTTTTACACAGTTTATTGGTAGAATAGGAGGCAAATGGCTTGCAGCATTACATGCTCTCTTTGATGACCAAGAAAAATTAACATATATATATATATATATAGACACACACACACACACACACACACACAAAGCATATATACAAAGCAGACAAAAAACTTAAACAATATGTATATGAAAGCGAACAAATAACAAAAAGAAAGAAAAGGAATAAGAACATTTTAAAATTCAAATGTTGATGAAGATAACTTTAACAAAAACATGTTATGCCAAATGCTTTTATCTGAACCACATTTTGCTACTGATTTTTATCTTTAAACAAATTAGCTGAAGCCTAGACTGAAAATAAAGGTGAAAACTGACATTATGGAAGACACTTTAGGGTGCCAATTCCCTAATGAAGTATATTTGACAGTGTACCCACACATACCATCTCAGCAAGGGAAACTGTCATAGTCAAGGGAAGATAAATAAGGAAAAAAAATATCCCAAGGCTTTACCACACACATAGGCAGATGACAACAGTATGGGAATAAAAACATTTTAATTGACAGTGTTTAAGAAAACTGGTTGAAAGAGTAACATAAAATAGTATTTTTGTTGTTGTTGTTGTTTGATTAATTTACAAAAATTAGCATTTGACAAACAGGGTTACGGCCCAAAAAATAAATAATAGTACCAATTATATCTTTTCATAAAGATCTCTCAAGATTCTACGGAAGTTGAAAACAAGTCCGATAGATGTTCCATTCATTGTCGCCAAAAGTGGGTGTCACTGTCACTGATTCATTCATTCACGCTTTGATGCTAGTTCTAAATCTCACTACAACTCTCTTACGTTTGAGAAAAAGACTTAGATGTTTACTTCACATACACTTTCATCATATAAAAGAAATTAGCTCACCTGTAAGAGTAAATCAAATCATTAGAACTTTGACTGTGCCGAATGTTTTCATAGCGCCTAAAACCGCAAAGGCATGTGTAAGTTTCTCCTAGTGTTGCCACTGAGACGGTGTGAAGTAATTCTGGAGGCTGATTGGCCAAAATTAGTCGCGCATGCGTAGAAATGGAAATAATGTAAATTTCCGGAGTGCAAGATTTGAAATGGATGAATGAGAAGCCTCGATATATCTGTGATTTAAACTGTGTTACACGTGAGCTGGTACCTTAATCAGGGAAGTATGATATAAATAAAATGCAGGCGTTTGAAGATGTTGATTTTGATGAGTCCTTTGGAGAATATCAGCATTCGTTGAAAGGTACGCATGCACCAAACAGAGCTTTCACTATCCAACTTCAACTTCCACTATTTACTAGTGCACTTTACTAAGCCTCTTCCAGTACTGATATACAATTATTTATAAACCCCAATTATAGATTACAATAAAAAAGCATACCAACAAGAAAGAAGCTTGATGATCCGACCATGTTTGATTGATGAATATCAGATATGCTTAATTAACTTACGACTCTAGTACATGTACGTGTAATGTGTAAAACAGTATAGAATGGTGATGTTTTGTCAATCAGATTTATTGAGACTCATTTCATCCTTGCAACATGCCATCAACTAATATACAGGCTTGACAATCTGAGGATCTTTGCCCTGGAGGGCATTAACACCCCGTAATACTGAATTTAACAGGTCCATCTTCTAAATATTGAAAGATGAAGATGTACAAGCAAGTTTGAAAGTTTCATTACCATAAAGAATCATAAAAAGATTTCAATATTTTATTCAATTTATCATTCATAGAAAGAATCCATGTAAGCATGGAAGAGGTTAGACAGGCGTTAGAAAGCCCTGCCCCACCCAGCTCCAGGTCTGCGTCTCCGTCTTCTCCAAGAATGAGGTCATCTCCTCGCTACTCAGCCAAGAAAAAAACTGGCCTGGATCCAAGGACAAGGTCTTCCAGTAGTAGAAGCCCTAGAGGGCACGACAGCCAGGAATCACATGAATATCCCCAGCGACGTCCTGGCAGTAGAAACAGCAGTGAAAATGCAGAAAGAATCACAGGAAGACATTATCATCAGCAGCAGCCCCGCCATCGGCCACGTCAGGGAGGTCATCAGCTCAAGGGGAGGAAGCCAACATCAGGATCTTCACGGTAATAACTGTACCAAAGATGAGTGAGGATGGTTGTTTTGATAAACTGTAGAGTTTTTTTCCAAAACTAGAGATCTGACAAATACAGACATTTTTATTCACTTTTATTTGGCTTGCTCATTATATTTTTTATTATTCACTCCATTCCACATAGTCCGGTGGCTTAAGGAAAAAATCGTGACACGGCGGATAAAAGCACCAAATTTTGCATGTGGGTACCTTTTGACATTCTAAATCAAATTAGAGCCGTAGCCCACGGAAAAAATTTACCGTTTGGCCAAAAATCCAAAATGGCCACCAATTTATTGAATTCTTTAGAAATATGTACACCCTATGTTGATTTTTATCAAATAAATTATTTTCTCAGAGTTTTCCACACCCTTATTACCCATTTTATTCATATATGTCAGATAGCAAACAAGTTCCCTTGGACTTTTTGACAAAATCCAAGATGGCTGTCATTTGCCATAGAAACAGCCATATGAATACTAGTGCACAACTATTACCAGCTAGAACGATACGTTGTCCACTATCAAATTAAGTCTGTTTCTCAGATCTTTGTTACCCACATAATATTTTTGTGGGGAGTAACTACGAAGTGTTCTTGGGCATTTTGGAAAATCCAAGATGGCTGTCATGTGCCACAGGAATTCTAGTGTACGGGGGATTCAACTAATGGCAACTGGAAAGATTAGTTTTTCACTATCAAATTAAGCTGGTTTCTGAGTGTTTTCCACATCCTTTCTACCCACACAATATGTATGTGGTGAGTAACTAACAGCATTCTTGGGCATTTTGAAAAAATCCAAGATGGCCGTCACATGTAATAGGAATACTTCTAGTATTACAAAGGGTTGGAACTAATGCCAGCTAATTCACTATCAAATTCAGTTTATTTCTTAAGTGTTTTACACATTATTATTACACTGTGATACATATCTAGCAGGTAATAAATGTGCATATTTGATCATTTGATCATTGAGAAAACCCAAGATGGCCGTCACTGGCCATAGGAATACTACTAGAATTACAACTGCACATCAATGGCTTTTTATCTACTACCAGGGTGAATTTGTGTTTGCTTATCAAGTTTTGCCCATCCTTATTAGTCCTATGATATATATCTGGTGGGTAAATAGTGTGCATCCTTGGATATTCTGAGAAAAAGATACCTACAATTTAACATAGGAATACTAATGGGTGGGTTTCAATTGCTGCTAGAGAGGCATATGGTTCATTATACAATTACATTTCCATGGGTTTGTTTTAAAAATAATTTATGTTTTTCATTCCATTTATTATTACCCCTATGATGTATACCTGGTCTGTAGCATGTGTGTATCTTTGGGTATTCTGAAAAAATTCAAGATGTCTGCCTTTTGTCATTAGAATATTCGAACACATAATCAAATAATGCTAGAGATACACTGAGTACGATTTAAATGTAGTTAACTTTGGGTCGTTTTTAAATGTTTTTCATATCCTATTTATCCTTATGAAAGACTCTGTGTGTTTTGAAAGTGTATGTATCCTTGAGTATTATTCGGAGAAAACCCAAGATAGCTGCCAGTTGTCATAGGAATATATCATTCAAATGCACATAGGTGTCAATTAATAGAACAGTTCAGACATTGATTCCAACATGAAATAAAGCCTTTGATGTTTAAACATGTTGACATCCTTATTAACCTTACCCTTTATAAATCTGGCGTGTAGCAAGTGTGCATCTTGCGTATTTGAGAAAATTCAAGATTGCTGCAATTCACAATAGGAATAGTACAGTCAATTACTGCCAGAGAGACATTGGGTTCAATATAAAATGAATTTTGTTTCTCAGTATTTCCCACATTCTTTTTGGACTTTTAGATATCTATCTGGTGGGTAACAAGTGTATACCCTTAAGCATTTGAAAAAATATCATGATTACCCTCATTTGCCTTAGAAGTGCCTATAAAATCCAGTTTTCCTATGGGGAAAAGAAGGCTATCTAGGATTTCCCCAAAATGATAAAATATGGACATTAATTACCTAACAGAAATGTATCATGGGATAACAATACTAAAAAAAAAAAAAACAGAAAAACAACTGAATTCAGCTTCATTTTATTTGTAAGCCTATCTCTCGCAGGTATTAACTGAACCCCACCTTCAATGGCCAATGGCAGCCATTTTGTTTTGTTTTGTTTTCAAAAAGGATACACATAACATTCTCATCACATATGTATTATGTGAATTAAAAAGATGTGGAAAATACTCAGAAACAAACCTAATTTATCAATTAAAATTATATCTCCATGGCAGAAGAAGCCCTATGTGTATACTAGTATTCCTTTGATATGGGGGCCATCTTGGATTTTCCTCGAATTGCCTGTGAATAAAGGTTAGTTACTCACCACAAATATATTATTTGTGTAATAAGAAACAAAATTAGTTACATAGTGGGCAATGCATCTTTCTAGTTGGCATTAGTTAGCTAGTTGAAAACCCTTGTGCATGTTCTAGTATTCCTATGCCATACGGCGGCCATCTTGGATTTTTCAGTAAGTCCAAGGACACTAGTTTGTTATCTGACACATATGCATAATATGGGTAATAAGGATGTGGAAAACATTGAGAAAATACTTAATTTGATAAAAATCAACATAGATATGTATATATTTCTACAAAATTTCAAAAATTGGCGGCCATTTTGGATTTTTTGGCCAAACGGTAATTTTTTTCCGTGGGCTACGGCTCTAATTTGATTTAGTATGTCAAAAGGTACCCACATGCAAAATTTGGTGCTTTTATCCGCTGTGTCACGATTTGGCCATTTTTTTGCCCTAAGCAACCGGACTAACATTGTTAACATTTAAAGAAATTTTAGAAAATTATTACAAATTACATTTTCATGACATTTAGCAGGATTTCTGGTCCCAAGCAGCCATTCAATGACCTGAGTTATAAAGCTGCAGTGGACAGGCTTAGAGACATGCTGCAGCAGTATGATTCCACTCACAGCCCTCTCACACGACCAAAAACTGTTCACTTTGAGCCCAGTCAGGTGAGTAGATACACCCTGAGTTTCAGTGTCTTTTTGAGAACTTATTTTTGTAACCAATACCCTTGATGCTGTTTCCAAACACTTTGAATTCCATTTTTTTTTAAACTTACTTTTAGAGGTCTGTGTTTATTTTGAACTTAATTTTATCTGTGTTATTTTAAATCTTTTAACTTTTAATTTAAATAACAACTTCAACCTTTTGGTTGCAATAATTTTGAATTAACTTTTTATTATTATTACAATTTACAGATTTCACACCAGTTCATTCCTAGCCCAGTGTACAAAAAGTCAGATCTCCCAAGAGTGGAGGAAGTGGTACCAATAGTCCAACACCAGTCTAATTATATCAAACAACTGGAAGCTGAAAGTCAATTTTGTAAAGTATGTTTTTTCTGGATTTGCTTGTAATTTAGAGTAAAAAATGAGTGAAGAGGAGATATGAGAATGGGTTTGCTAACCTGAAAATGTTGCTGCTCTTTTGGTTGAATTTAAGAATCTATATACATTGCGGCAGTTGAGAAATTTCTGATTGTGATCTTGGTATTTCATGAATTGAAAGTGCCTGGAGAGAAGAAACAAATGTGGCCAAAAAGTTAATTTTGTTGATAATATAATTACTTGGATACATAACTTTGTTGAAATTTTTGCAACAAAACATATTTTTCAGTCATAAGATTACTGACATGTTGTTTTACAGGGTGAAATAACTGCACTGAAAAAGCGTATTGCAGAGGTGGTGGAGGAAAATAAGATGCTACAGGAGGAGCTGAAGTCTGTCATGTCCCAGAACATCCTAGCAGACAGTGACCAGGAGTTTAAGGTAGAAAACGTAAAAACTGCTCACTCCAGGGGTGGATTCAGAGATATTTTCTGACAGTCTTCCAAATTATCTTTGTTGATCCATCCTTCATTTTTCTGTCTTCTGACAGAAATAAGTAGATGTCAGTCAATTTAAAACTTGAAAAATTCTGACCGTCTTCTGGAAGACCCAGAAGATGACCACGATATTTCAGTTATGAGGCAAGAGGAAAATAATAAATGCATTTTGTATTTAATAACAATGATAAATACAAAGTTTATGTGTATATTAAATGATCAAACAAATTATCTCTTGATTGTGCTATTATCATACATCATTAGATAATTAAGTTTCCCTATACCATTTAACAAATCAGATATATGAGCAAAAATGTTCAGTAGCTTGGTAGTTGGATCATAGATGAAAATTATCAAACACAAGCTGAGAAATGTTACATACTATTAGCTTATGGCCAACCTGGACGTAGGCCTGCATCACACTCACGTGATTAGATGTTGATTTCAACATCAACATTGATATCAACATCTACTCATGTCAACATCAACATTCACATCACTGATGTGGTTTTCTCTGTATTACAGCAAAGTTGCTAAGATGACTGGAAAATAGAAAAAACTGTTATCTTTTTGATTAATTGATATTTTTAGGGCCTAATAACAAGTGCAGTCATTTTATGTCTACATTATATGTTACAGTCTTCTTATCTATTGGGCAGGGAATTTTTTAAGTATCAGTTCTTATACTTGAAAGCATGACAAAAATGAAGGTACATAATAGAAAGAAAAGAAGCCCATTCCAGTCATTAACAGGACTTGCTGGAATTTCACAAGTTTTCTTCAGTTTCAAAGTCAGCTCCTGATTTTGTTTCTTTAATGTTTCACATTGTTGGGCAAGCTCTTGCACCTCTTTTATCTGGTGTGTAAATCCCTCGTTCAGATCCAGGAGCCTGCACGACATGTGCTCTTCTCTCCCCGTGCACAGGATGCAGAGACATATACCATGATTGAAGCAAAAATAGACAACATTTTCTCGTGGATGAAAGGAGCATTTTGTACCTTGAGGCTGGATATCTTTGGTCTTGTGAGGTACTTTCACATTTAGCTTTCTATGTGCTTGCAGATGTAAGGAGCAGAGGAATTTAACAGGTTTACATGTGATGCAGTAACTAGTAGCTGTCACCACTGTTTCATCAGAATCCCAGCAAAAATCACACCTTTGTTCGCTTTTGTTCATTTCCTTCACATAGTCTTGGATTTTAGGTGCTACAAAATACCTAGGGAAAGCATCTACCCCTTGCCTTGGCAAAGTGGTCTTCTTTCTGCATAATGGGCAGGAAAAACTTTGACCAAATGCCGCCCTTCTCACATGATCCTTCAAACATTGCTTACAAAATGGATGCAGACAGGGCAAACCTACGGGTTCTGTAAATGCTTCTAAGCATATTGAACAGGTCAGCAGATCTAGATCTATGTCACCAGAGGTCTGCTCCTTGGGTCTTGCTCCTTTGCTGTGTGCCATCAGTCCTGAAAAAAAATGTGTTGTCTTTCACCATTAAGCAGGTCAGTTGATTGTATGGTTAATGAAAGAATTACTTGCCCCAGAACCCATCAATTATTTATTTATTTATTTATTTATTTATTTATTTATTTATTTATTTATCTGTCTGTCAGTTGTTTTTTACAAGCAAGTCTAGTGAGTCAAGCAAGGTGAAGAAGTTAAGCTTTTGCAGTGCACCCCACCCCCACATCATTTCCCAATATCATGTATCCACCAGGTAGACATGATACTGGAGGAAGTGAAGAATGAAACCTTTCACCAAATGAGAAAACTCATCTTATATTTACCTACTGCTACTAACTATCATTATATCTACAATTATCCTGACAGTGCTTCAAAGAATTAATGTTCAAACCTTCAAGGTGATGTCATTCTACCTACACAAACAAAGATCTATTTTACTTGAAAGTGTACTCTCCACATGACAATTTAACTGTTTGTTTTTGATATTTTCTGCAGTATAACATGTGATCATTGTCATGTTGTACCTACCTGGATGTGGTCTAACATGGATCAGCAGCAGCCACATTCAAGACCCACTCAAACCTTATTAAAGTTTGAGTTTTCAAATAAAACAAACAGCCAGTAACTTACTTTCGGTTTAACAGTCAGGTTAAATTTCCAGTCTGAAATATAGTTGGTAAACAGTCTGGTGTGTGAATGTCAACTTATCAGTGATAAAACAGATATTTAGTATGTCTCAATATATATGAGTCTGATAAGACTACAACATATTGTATATGATAAGACTTCAGCATGTTATAGGTAATTTATGGTATATTCAGGGCTATAGGGCAGTCATCCTTTTTGTTTCCCGGGGTTCAGCAGTCATCGCCTGGGAACTAGCAATCAACCCTTGGGGTTTAGGAATCATCCCCTGGGGCTCAGCAGTCATTTGATAAGGCCCAGCAATCATGCAAGCATCAAATGTAATTTTTGTGGTCATAAAATTATGTATCTGATTGAGTAATTACCATATTTTCTTCTGCAAAGGATATGATCATATGCTGGTTCAAGTTCTTTATATAGGCTTTTTTATTTATGAAAATTATTGAAATATAGACGCTATTTGTTGAAATTAGATTTAACAGTGCATTGCCTTTATATCCCGGTCTGAAATTACAGAGAACTGAATTTGCTGTAAGATATTTTCCATTAAAATATCATAACTTTTCACAAAGTTATTTTTTATGATCATAATATTTTATTGACATAAACAACAATGATTACTACACTTAGCCAGAGGATAATGATTTTGTGGCTACTAAGTATAATTATTTATTTATTTGTGACAGCAATCAACACATACCAGAGGGCGGCACTCACAGTTTATTAACATTATTTATAAAAGTGATCTCACTACAGCTTGATCTATGTGAGTTGACTGTAAAGTGGTTGTATTATCCAAAACATTCTTAGTAGTTACACCCATATTAGGATGTCAGATAGATCTAATGCTTCTTTGTATGAATGGCTGCAGAATGGCAAAATTGAAGAATAATGTTTTTAAAATGCTCCCAGGTAAAAGCTAGCAATTCAGTAAAGTTATGTAATAAGAATGCTGTCTTCTATGAAACAGTTTGTTTCAGGTGAAAGGTCACATATATATTGCACACTGAAAAGTAAAAAAAATTAATATTAAGTTTTTATCACCAAAGCATGATACATATCATAACACAGGTGAGAACTAGAGCAAAGCACATTCCTGCCAGGTTGTCAATGTCTTCCCTGTCCTCAACTTTGTCATACTGTCCAGGTATGCTGAAACAAGTGGACCAAATGTCCCCCCTCTTGGCAAACTGCTCCTGCATGCTGTCTATGACATTCTGAGCGGTCTCCAGTTCTATTTCTTTCACTGTGAGTGCCCGTTTGAAGTCTGTCAGTATGCAGCTCTGATGGTATCCATCGTCCGAGATACACTGCATGCACACGCAGCATTTATGGCGACTGCAATAGGCAACCACATGGTTTTGACGGTGGTCCTCACATGCGATGTAAAATGCATCAGCGTCAAGATTCTCCTCGTCACTGGAAATGTCAATTTCATTGGTAATTACGTTATCTGCCCATTGTTGTTGTTGTTGTTGTTGTTCTTGAATTATTTGCTGTAAAGGTTGTTGTTGGTGATGGCGGCCATGTTGTCTATATCTTTTGTAAGGCCCAGTGACCATATCACCAGTGGCAGTTGTTTGAGTTGTGTATAAACTCATAGCTATCCTATGCAGCATCAGTTAAACCTTGTTTATTAATAACTAGTTGCTTAAGAACTTGATATATTTACCTGAGCTATTTACTTTGAAAAATTCTACTTATGATGGATTATGAGGTTTGATATATTTCTGTTCATTTCAATGTTCCAGAGTCAATGTACCTTTATAATAACATTAACATGCATGCTATTGATTCTTTTACTCCTGACCATCTTTGATACTTTTCATAACTGTTTTTGTCCTATCTTTTGATGCACTTCCAAGATTTTTCTTGATTAGTAATCATCATTTTATACATGGTTTAATAAACAAAGTGTACATAAGTCTGATAGTCTCCAGGATTCCTTAAATTTTCTAGATAATCCTAATTCTCAACAGTTATTTATCCAGAATAGGTGTTATAATGTCCATGTCCAGAATTGTAAGGTTCCAGCAATCCCTGTGATACACTGCCTTGTCCTAGAACTATCAGAATAAAGTCCTTAAATTCATTCTGTATTTTAACTGTGATAGATAGTAGTATTTGTAGGTAGCCACCACAACTGAAGCAGCTGTTCAAATGCAGCATTGGCACTGTATGTGCTGCAGATGTAGCTGTATTATGCTGATGAATACTTTATACTGTATAGGGGCTGGTTCATATTATTTCAACTTGCTCATTATAGCCAGCGTAATGTTAATTTATACAAGTGACAGGTGGATTTTAGTGTATGAGTACCAATTAAAAATATATGTAAAGTGTAATTTTAGGTTGCATTTATTATTGCCTATATGCTGTGTTAGTTTTGTTTGTTTGTTTGTCTGTTTGAAATATTTTTTAAGGTAGCGTGTCAATTTATTTTTTAATTTTTTTTATTTTATTATTTTTTTAAAATAATCATTACCTATTTGTTATTAATCTATGTTAGTTTGTTTTTATATATATCTATTTACTATAAGTGTATGGAGATTCCATCCTATATTTATATCAGTTAAAGGCTTCACTCCAGATTTCTTATGTGCGAGAACCATGGAACAATAGGGAGAGTAATGGAGACTAGGATATTCATACTGATGGGAAATCTGTCATTATGCTCAAGATGTCATGATTTATACTTATTTAGGGAAGCAGGAGCAGACAAGACGATGAAGACAGAATGTCGAGGCTGGATTACAAGAGGTGGAAAAAAGAACTGGTAAGCAACTGGTGTGTGTGTGTGTGTGCGTATGCATGTGTGTGTGTGTGTGTGTGTGTGTGTGTATCCACCACCTGGACATTTTTTAGTGTCTGTCTGAATATTGACTCTAGTCAGAATATATTGTAATTATTATACCATATTTCCTGTATTGTGACAGAGATTATACTGGTAGGAAAGGTTACCTAAGGGTGATATGTACACATTATTTTGTAAATTGCCAATAAGGAAATGACAGGCTTTGGTATAACATAAGGTTTATGTGTTGTTGGAATTGTGGAACAGATGTAAGTTTTGCAATAATGACTGTCACAATTATTTTATATTGATAGTGTGCAATTATCTGCAATTACTTGCAACATTTTAACTATAATTAATAAGCTAGAAGAAAAGGATGTTTAAACAAGGCAATTCATGTAAATGATTTTAAAAAATACTTGTCTTTCAGGAACGAATAAGTGACCTCCATTCTGCCAAAAGTAGGCGTCTGGAAGCCCAGCTAGCAAATGCTAGGTAAGCTGTCATGTTCTTGTCTGGAGTACATGTAAAGTACCTATCAGTAAAGTATCAGGGTATTATGCATCAAATTTTTTTTTTTTTTTTTTTTTGTGAATGAAAATAAGAATGACTGCCTAATGCAAAATGTGCTTAATACAAATACAGTACCCTTTATTTTATATGTATTGTCTCACATAATTTAAAGTCAGAAAAGATGAGAAAAGCAACAAGAAAGGGAAATGTTGCTGTAGTACTTATGCAACCGTTGCTACAAGCCTACTGGTATTTTGTCAGTAAGGGTTTGCATAATGCTGTTTATCGTCATATTTTGTTTGCATGATGTAGTTTATCAGCATATTTTGTATTTAACTTCCAGAGAAGAAGCAGAGCAGAACGAGAAGGTGGTGGAGGAGCTTCAGGGAAAACTAAGATTACTAGAATCCCTCAACAAGTTGGGAAGGGCTGACACAGAACAGGAACCAGGGTTGTGCATCCAGTGTGCCCAAAATGAGGCTATGGTGTCTTCTGTGATTGGAGGAAGGAATACTCAAGTGATCGAAAACCTAACAAAGTAAATGCCTTTCAAAGAACTGTGCTTCGCTCTTGGAAAAACTGAATCTAAGCAGTAAAATTTTTGGATTTTGTCCAAAAAGATGCCCGCAAATCTTGCTTAAAAAGGATGCCAGCCATGTGGTTTTTTGTTTGTTCCTTTGTTTTTGTTTTTCAACAAACTAGATATTTTCTTTTTTAGTTTATTTCAGCTATTTGCACTAGTGAATGTAAACATTGGATGCCTCAACATGTTAACACAGTGACATTTTATACCTGAAGTAATCTTATTTTGATTACGTTTTTTTCTTTTCTTTGTTACACTGTAGTAACAGCTCACCTTTCATGTTCACCGCCAATCAGGTTCCACACTGTATGACCACAGATAAAGTATTCTATATGTGGTTCAAGCTCACTGTGTCATGTAAGGTCTCATCACTTGGTGAGGTAGTGTGGACGAGTTGTGGACGTGTATTTTGCTACTAGGCAGCACACAGACGATTTATGCTTTCAAAAAATAGATCTTTGTGATGCATTAGTCAATCATCTTTCATAAGGTGTGTGTAAGAGTTATCTTTCAGCATTTCTCAGCTTTGAACCCTAATAAGCCTTACCATCTGGTTGTCATCATCTAGATTGACTCACCCCTTCATGGAGATATGTTTTAGGACAAAATGTTTAAATTGGCTTCTGGATTTTCTCCAGAGAAAGAGATGGGTTGATAGAGACAGTCGCTAGTTTCAAGTCAAAACTGGAGGATCAGAAGCAGCGGGAAGAGGAGGCATATGCTCAGTTGAAGAAGAGTGCAGAGTTGGTTGAACAGGCTCAGTTTGATAAAATGCAGGTAAATTGAATGGAATTGCCATAGTGTGTGTATGTGTTTTAAGTGGAGTCAATGAAATACCACCTTTTTTTTTTTTGTTGACACTCATACTTGCGAATGACATTTTTGTATACTGTCAGGTCATTTTGATGTTGAACTTTCATGTAATTTTGAAAATTTTTATTTAATAACCTGTGCACCCAAAGAGCACTTCATATAATGTTGTCCATTTGCACCGATTTTCACTGAACCTAATGGGTGATATTACAACAGTGAAACTACTAAATAAATCCTCCACAGGCAATCACCCAGCGTGAACAACTAGCAGACAAGCTGCACAAGTTTGAGAGGAGGATGGAGGACCTAGTTCACAGCCACCAGAAGAATGTAGATGCCGAGAGAGAGCTGGCAAGAAAAGAAAGCAAGAAAGAGATAGAGGAGCTCAACTTGAGGGTGTGCTATAGGCTTTGATATTTTCTCTTTAGTTAAGCATACATAGGCCTCTATTCAGGGTGAGGGTTCAGTAGGCCAGGGGATGGTGGAGGGGGGGGAAAGAACCACACTTTTGGGTGGAGAAGGCCCACCCTGAATCTGAATTTGATCTCTTTTCCAGACCTTTTATCAAGTTTGGTCAACCAAGGGGGTAAAAAGGTTCAATTTAGGGAAAAAATCCCATCTTGAAAATGCTGGCTACAGCCTGATATTTGCATACGTAATTGTTAATTCTCCATGCAGCTCATGCTTCCGTGTATGTGAATATTGCAGATCAGTTCATTATAAAGGTATCGCACTTTGGTACACTGAATGTTTCAGATTTTATTAACAAAATTTGAATGCCTATTAAATGTTTATTATTGATAGAAAAAATAATTTCTAATGTAATGAGATGCTGTGATATATATAAGTTGACATTTGTTTTGCTGCAGCTGAAGGAGCTGACTGATCTCCATGGTACAGTTCAACACCAGTTAGACCGCGTGACGCGGGAGAAGGTGACCATGCAAGCTGAGTTAGAGAGAACAAGGACACAAGTGACGGAATTTGACACTGACTATACAAAGGTACTGTGTGTATGTGCGTGTGTGTGTGTGTTAGAATATATTTGTGAATTATCAAGTATCTTTGTATTCTCATGATACCGTAGTAGAAAAATGGATCATTTTTCACTTATGTATGATAAAAAGTCTTGATTTTTTTTTTTTTTTTTTTTTTTTTTTTTTTTTTTTTTTTTTTGACAACAAAGTGATTTCTTTACCAAACAGAAAAGGTGATTTCTATTAATGGCTATGAAACCTTACTAAGATTAATGAAGATAAACCAGTATTTATGCACTAGGTTAGTTATTTTTGTCAGACATTTGTGAGTGTGCATGTTCCAGTCTGTTTTGTCTCATTCCCAGGCTACAGAGGAACTGAAGTCTCAGCTGGCCCAGGCCAATATAGAGAGGAATGCTGCCGTGAAGGAAATGAACAGGATACGCACTGAAGTTGACAAGACAAACAGAGACAATGAAATGGTGGGCCTCTCTCTCTCTCTCTCTCTCTCTCTGTCTCTCTCTCTCTCTCTCTCGCACACACATACACACACACATACCAGATTCACATATCAGTATGCCTTAAATCTAAGAAGCACATATGTACATGTGTTTATGATTTATACCTTATAACCACTCACGCACATGCACACATCTGTGGCATTTAATACCTTCTGAAACATGTTTCAAATGGTATTTATTTTGTAGGAAAAGTCGAGATTGAAGGAAAACCTGGAGGATGTCAGGAGGCGGCTGATGCAGGCAGAAAGAGAATTAATGAATGCAAAGGAAGAGTGCATCACACTGGCCACAGACATGCAGGCCATAGAAAAAGATGTAAGGGAAGCAGGGCATTGTTCAGCAATCTACAGCTACTCATCTCATATTTTGTTGGTGGTTTCATTTAATGAATGAATAGATTTTTTAATGGAATAAGCCGAAAAATATTTCTGCATGGAAACTCCTCCATTTATGTTCTCAAAGTTAAGAAAAAAAACTTTTAAGCAGCTTCTAATAGCTCTCTCTTTATTCAGGCTCAGCTGTGTAAGATGGCCAAAGAGAGCATGGAGAAAGGCAGGAGAGAGGAGCTACATACAGTCACTAAGAGAGCACAGCAGAGGGAGGTGGAGCTGAACTCACTGATTGAGGAAATAGAGGCTAGGCATGGTAGAGACACACTTTTTTTTAACCAGACTGAATAATTATAATATCAATTATTACCAAAGATGCCTTGTCAAAGATTGGTTACAGTTTGTTCTTAAATTAAATGTAATAAATGAAATAAATAGCATAAAGTGAGAAAAGGGGGATAATTTACCATTTCTGCATATCTTGCTGGTAAATGAAACTTAACCAAGAAGTAAGACATACGATTTATAGATAATTTATTAAAGCACCTGTATTTGCTTTCACAAAACCTCTATCCATTCTCTGTTTTCTATTTCACCTAGCTCTGACCAATGCTGAGACAGAAGACATGCTGCAACAGCAGAACGGTTTGATTGGCAAACTCAGGGAGGAATGCCGTACATTGGCCTCCCAACTGGAACAGACTGCACAGAAATACAGGTATTTTTTTTTCTCCTCATTGAGTAACATGATTGCTATGTCTGTCTGCAAGCTGGTCTGTCTCTCCCTGTGCTTGCTTAAACTGTCCCGTTTGAAGCATTTTGTTACTTTTGCTTTTGCAGTTTTGCATATATCATGCTGTCTTGGGAGTTTAAATAGACATCTGATGAAATATGTCAAAAATTTGCAAAAAAATTTTTGCATGCATTTTCAGACTGAATGTAGTAGAGTTAGGATAAATATCCAACAAGAAAAACATATTTTCTGTATACTCCTAATTCCTTGAAATCAATAATGAACACAATCATTTAATATGACAAATTTTAATATTTTACTTAAAATTACTATAAAATAAAATATATAAAATTCTGTGTTTAGAGGTGAAGTGAGGCAGGTTAAAAACCTGAATGAAGAGCTATCCGTAAGATTAGAGAAAACCCTGAACAGATTGAAAGAGATGGAGGCACAGCACGTGCAGCATGGCCAAATGCATGACAAAATGCGACAACGGCTTGCACAGATGGACGAACACGCCCAGTATCAGGGACAGCAGGTAAAACTGATATCTGGATTTTTTTTTTCTGTGATTTTTTTTCCACCCTATACACAATTCAGTCAGATACTTCTGTTTTTTTTTTTTTGTTTTTGTTTTTTTACTTCCAAATTTCAGAGACTCTAGCTATAACAAAATAATTAACATTACAAAAAAGGAAAGTAATTAACGAAGTGGCACTAGGGTGAATTAAAATTTTTCTTTGTTTTGGCACAATCTAATTGCTTCTCACCAACAGCAGGCAGGAAATTAAACAAAACTGTAATTGCTGTGATATCTGATATGGAGGTAATATAAATCAGACCAAGATATTTACAAAGGTTGTATTATGCTAGAATGTTTATGTGTTCAAATAATTTTAAAGAGCGTAGCAATCTTGAATAATAAACTTTTTTGTTTCTGTCTTATTCATTTAATACCAGTCAAATCTGGTCTATGCATCTATCAAATTTTACTTTGAAAGCTGATTCTATATGATGTGGTATGCCGATGGTGCAGTCTGTCTCACCAAATTAATTATGTAAAAATATTGCATTCAAAAATAATATTTCACTGACATCACAAATGCCATTTCAGATTAATAACAAACAAGTAATCCCCCCCCTCCCCTGATTATAATCATTTCTACTTGTCCACAAAGAGTGATATTTCAATAAAACTGCCATTATGTTTCTTCTTCCTCTTCTACACTGTCTTCATCTTCATCCCCCTGTGGAATGTTAATCACCTTTACTCCATGGTTGGTACTGTACACCCCACCATACGATATCACAATGTTTTCCTCGCGGGTCACACACACTCCTCGCGGGGACTCCATAACGGCCAGGACTTGCACAAACTGTCCCGTTTTAGTGAAGAGCTTGACCTTGTTGTTTCCGGTGTCACTTACTATCACCATGTCTCTGTACATACACACCCCTCCGGGTCTATAAAGCTCACTGTCTGGCTTTGTACTCTGATGGGTCAGAAGACTCCCCTCACCCTCTGCTGAGCTGCCATTGCTGCTGGAATTCGAGTCAAGTTTTCTCTGGCTGTTTAGAATGTTTCCAAAAGGCTTGCCAATCTTTCCCAGGAAGTCCCCACTAAAAGTGAACATCTTGACGCAGTTATTTAAACTGTCTGAAATGTACAGCGCCTCCTTGTCTGTCGATAGATACAATGGCATATCAAACTGGGCGTCGCCATTACCGTAAGAGCCAAAGGTGCGTACCAGGTTACCATATTTGTCAAAGAAAAACAGACAGTTCTTGTCCAGGTCAGAGACTATGATTTGTTGGTGCTTGGTTACTGCCAAACCAGACGGGGATACTAGTCTGGCTTTCTGGTCAAGAACCACAGTTTTCCTGGAAAATAACAATAATACGAGTTTTAAATATATTATCACTTAAGTCTGCTGCAAATGTTAGGTCAGTTTTTAAATGTTTTAAACAGCATTTGTGCAAAAAGCACTATGAGATATCGGAGAAACAGTTTTCCTGAAAAATAATTATAAAACTTGTTTTGAATATATTAATGCTAATGCCAGTTCAAATGATGCCACAATCTTAAGTCTATTCATTTCAAATGTTTGAATGTTGATAACAGCACTTGTACAACAATCAATATGAGACAATGAGATATTTTATGAATATTTTTCATATACAAATCATTTAAATACAAAGATAATGACTGCATTCAGTCCCTCAGTTGGCCCCCACCAGTATATTAAACCAGCTGAGCAGGGGGCAAATCCAGGATTAAAGTCATAATAACTCTTCGTTTTGGCCAAAAATTGGATTTTCCCGGAAAAAACGGCAATTTTCCCGTACTTACCAATGGTCAACGACCCCATTCCTGCATTCAAAGTTAATCCAGGGTTTTTTTCCTAAACGTACGTTTTTTTGTTAAAATCTCTTAAGAGATTTTAACTGATGGAGCTCTCTCTGACATCGCATAGTCACTGTTGACCTACTTAAAACCGCGGGAAAAGCAGACAACAACAACACTATATAAGATTCATGAGATATATTCGTCTTTTTGTTAAAAATACATTAATATCCACAATGTGTGCCATTCTGGGCTTTTCGTTATCCGACGCACTGTACAAAAACTCGCAACTTACGTCTGCGTCTGCATTAATGCGTTTGGCGCCATATGTTATTTTGGTCTCGAATGAACGCGAGAATCCGCGTGACACCATTACGTCATTAGCAACGAATGCCTTGATGTCCGGGAAGAAGGCATCGAAAGCCCTATTGACAAGCACAGATTTTAGTTTTACTACAATAACGGCCGTTTTAGTGGTAAAATACAATAGAATATATTTCCATGCGTTGTTTACAATGTATTTCATGCGGAATTTTGAATCTCAAAGGAAGAGTTATTATTGCTTTAATTGAAGGGGGGTCCAGTTTTTTTTTTAAAGAATGACAGGCTTTGGATGCAAAGCCAACCCTTGCCCCCTTGGTGTGGGGTTGGGTGTTTTGGAAGGCAAACGGTGTCATGGTACAGTTAAGGACTCGAAATTCAACTAGTCAAAATTCTAATATCAAAAGGGGAACATTTGTGTGATTTTTTTCCAGAACCTGAAGGGGGGGGTACAGGAACGCCCTGATACCCCTCTAAATCCGCCACTGCTGAGTATGTGATGTGGCATAATGTACAGACTATACATACTTAGATGGGTTCACTGGGCAAGTTTTTAATGCCTGTATACAGTCTCTCACCTGACAATCCCCTGTGGAGTAAACACCTTGAGTTTGTGGTGTGTTTCAGTACCTGCCAGCACCCCCAGCCACGATTTCTTCTGTTCAGTTTCCAACAGGATCACAGCAAAACCTTCCACACCATCTAGCTTTACCCATGTTACACTGGTACACAGTCTGAAATAGAAACAATGTATCTATACAGCAAAACCTTCCACACCATCTACCTTAACCCAGAATGTAAATAGATCCTGCTCCCCCCATCCCTCTCTCTCTCTCTCTCTCATCAGTATTAGAGATACATGGTATTAATTTCTACAGCCCACCTTGGAGAAATCACACCACTGCTGGCACTGTTAACCATGTGACAGCTCTGCAAGTGTCTCCAGACTACAGTGGCTTTGCCCTTTGGGTCAAATATCACTGGAATTATTATGGAAAAAGAATTAAAACAAATCTATTCTTTGATAGTATGTCAGTGATGCAAGATAAATTTGCTTTCAATACATTATTTGCAATTCATACAAGAAGGATACAAGTTTTTATAATATATAATTATTGCAAACCAATTAAGTCAGTAACTTTTCATTTAGCTGTAATAATTTTAGTACAGAAATTTTATAAATATCCATAAGCTTGTTTTGCTGAAAAATACCCTCTAACAAAATATCAAACGGCATCAAAACTTAAAACTCATCTCTGGAGGAATTTATCTGAACGAAAAATACAACAAAAATAAAATTCAGTGACAGAAACCAATCTACCAACCAAGTTGCCTGTTTTCCACGTCTACAAAAGCCGTGAATCCATCTGGAGAAGTCTGCACATCAAATATAACAGTGGATCCCTTCCTGCCATAGCAGTCACCGTAGCTCACATTTCCATACACCACATCATCAGGTAGCCACATCGCACGCACACATTCATAGGGGGCTTCCTCAGCAAGAGGAGCAGCATCCACAGCTGTCTTTGGTCCAGGGGGAGAATGGATGGATGGGATTGCTGGGATTGTTCCATCACTGAGGTAAACTTGAAGACTCTTCTCCAAGGGGCAGAGTGTGATAACTGTCTCCTCCACACTGGTGGCCTTGGTCAGAGACTGTTCAGCAAATTTGACCACATGGGTCAGTTCATTGGCCGACTCCACCAGCTCCTCCTGGATACCTCTCTCCCTGTTGATGTTGGCCTTCGTTATCTCCATACACTGCTGCAACTTCACCATCTGCGCATTCAACTCTCGTAACTTTGCCGTGCTTGCGCTGACCTTTTCGTTCATACCTCCAAGTTTGCCTTTGCACGTCTCCAGCAGCGCCTCCATGCTGGTTTTCTTTTCGTCTATAAAAGTGCCAACAGAGATAAGGGTGCACGTCTTGTGCTGTTTCATGGTGCATGCGACGCACACACAGCAGTCATGATCGCGACAGTAGGTCGATACGTCAAATTGTGGATGACTGTCACACTTTGCCTGATCTCTTACCACCAGGTTGACTTTATGGTTCCCAAACCCTGCTGTACTGGTATGCTCTGCAGTGCACTCAAAGCAAAATTTCTTACCGCAGTCAAAGCAGTGAACAGTTGCCTCTTTCACCCGACCCTCCAACATACAGATGTCGCACACTTCACGTGCTTGGTCCCCGTACAGTGGCGAAAGAGACGACTGGAAACTCTGTTGCTCTAGCACATCCAAGACTTTCCCAATGTAGATGTTGTTGGGCAGGTTTTGCAGGCCGTTGGCTGGTACAGAGACATCTAGTCTACACATTGGGCAGGGAAACTTGGCACCAGAAACCACAGAGTTGTGGGCCTCCGCATGCTTCTGTATACAAGCCAGGCAGAAAGTGTGTGAGCAAGGGAGGAACTTGGGCTGGCGATCGGGATTAAATTCTTCAAAGCAGATCTGGCAGCTGCAGACATCGTCAACAGTGCCCTCTAAGTGAGCTGGCTTGAACATTGTTGTTGTTGTCATAGTTTGTTGGTGACCTGAAAAGACAACAATTACAGTAGATTGTATGTGCTGGAAATGATTTGTGCTTTACATGTACCTGAACAATAACATATATATATATATATATATATATATATATAGTAATTCTCAAATGTCAATACATCCTATGTATTTTTAATAATAATCATACCCATGAAATGGGTATTCTGACAATCAGGGGTTGAAACAGAAATTCTGGGTCACTGGTCTTATGGGACTAGTGACTTTGCTGTGTTACTAGTCCCAGCATAATTTTTAGTGATCCTCGTGTAGTGGTGTGCATTTCAACAATTACATTATTCAGTGACAAGTGACAGTATTATATTTCCCATAAATTTAGATCTGGCATGGGAATGTCATAAAGAATAATGTAATAATACATTTTTGGTAAACCTTGATCTCAAACTACTCGAGTGGGTCCCTGTGACTGAGATAACAAGACTGATAATTCAAAAGTTGTGTCTAAGAGCTGGCATTTGCTCAACACAATTTATGAAATTAATTCAATTGAACTAATGGTCGTAAATCCTCAATCATTTTGCTTACCTATGCATAAACATAAAGAAAATATATCTATCTCTCGACTCTGGCACCGATCCTCAAAGTGCGTGCCCGTCTATATCTTTTAGCATGTCGGCCATTTACAAAGCAGTACAACTCAGAGGAGGGGCAAAGACATCAATCACGTTGCGCGACCGATTAAAATGTAAATTGAGGCCATTCTATCTAGGTAGCACCGGTAAAAAGTCTTATCTCCGCTCTCGCGGGCTTCTATGTGCTTATAGTGCGTTAAGAGATGACAGACCACGGGCTTTTACTGTTCAAAACGCAACGTTAGCCCACAAGAAAATGAAACAGAGCAAATTTAACAAACTCCCTTGATGAAACTAAACAGTTGACTTTCGAGCAGCGTCAGTCGGGCTAGGCGTAGCTCTCCTGGAGTTGGATATGTCACGTTAAAGACTTACCTGAGCAATGTCATGGCATAGGCAGTAACTGCACTTCCTAGCAAGATAATGATGTGTCCCCTAGTGAGCAAATTACCAAGACAAGCTACGCAATCTTATAACGCGCTTTCAGCAACATCGGGTTATTTATTTACTTATTAAAACTTACACCCCATTTCCATAGATTTTTAGATCGATCTATGGATCGATCCCTGTGGGGAGTCTCACTAGATTACTGTCAGCTTGGCCGGCTTAAGCGTCTGTCCCGCCTACTAAAAGCTGTAAGGGGGTAATTAACTATGGTGTCCGCTCGGCTGACTGCAATTTAGCCTGAACCCCCAGGGAGTTAGGTCGATCTAAGACTTAATCTTTAGATCGATCTAAATCTCTGGGAAAGCACCCTTATTTACAAGCGGTTCTTGAACGGTAATTTATTTCACTGTTAGGTTGTTTATTCTTATTAGTTTATTATCTGCTATTCTATTTACTAGTCGCCAATGCTAAAGCGACTTTTTTCTCTTTCTTGCTCTTTGTTAAGACAGCCTGGAGGATTTCATTTCACCGTCGTTCAACATTCCCCGTCATTTTGTAGTGAACTTACTTTTTCTTGTACAGAAAATTCATTTTTTGGCGAAGTGAAATACGTAGAATGTATTTTGAGTGATCCGGCAAATACTAACGAATTTTGTAGATACCTTTGAAAAATAAGTTTACTGTTTCCTTTTTGGCACAAAATCTCATAGATCGCATTCACATCCAAAGTTGTTTCGCAGACTAACAGATCCACAGGTCAAATATGATTGACCCACTTGAAAGCTTACCGCGTAATCCCTGTGAGGAGTCTATTTAGTTGTCTTTTGGGGATTATGCGACAAGCTTTCAAGTTGGTCGAAACTGTTAGGCCTAGTCCGGGACGTGTTCTGAATCTGCCCATACACACGCTTCCTAAAACTTCTTTCAGTGTTGGGCAGAATGTGAGGTGTTTTTTTTTTTTTTTTTAAGCTTATTTCACCAAACGGAAGCGTCCATTTTTTCATATTTATCTCTTCAGATACTGGACTTGCTGGCCAAGCAGAGCAGTCTGATGAGAGATCGCCAGCTGCTGGGTAAAGAGGTGGAGTTTCTCCGCGCTCAGGTGGCGCCACCTAACGAGTGCGACTTGGACAAACTGGTCACTTCGAGGCGGGGCATGGTGGATGATGTACTGGAGAGTGCTCGGCGGGATGGCGACCAGGGGCAGGAAAAGCAGTAGAGACGGGGATAAAATATCATGGAAACCTGAATGGATGCGGGAATGAATGCATATTCATTCAATGAAAGATTCACAATCTATTGCTTAAATTTTGATTAATTATTTTTACTTTTATGGCAAAAGCTGCATCGCGGGCGAAAACGTCCAAAATCTTTAACATTTCTGGCCTTTTACATCTTCATCTTACGTCTATTATGTGATTTTATTTATTTTTTATGTTTTTTCAAGAAATACATATTGTTGTGAATTTTCTGTTTATTGCTGGTCAATTTTACACTTTTTACACAATTTTCTTTTCAATTCATGATTTTTCAAAAGATATAGGGGCCTATATTTATACAGCGGAAAACATATTCACGTATGTAACAATGAAACTGCGTCCATGTATCGTTAACAGTGTTTGATAGGGACAAACGTACTCTCTGCTGTGCTTATTTTGATATTAATTTTGATATTCTGACATTGTCGGATTAGCTGGCGTAACGTCCTGTTTACTTGCTTATTTTCTGCCTTATTACTATAATCATTTACCAGTGCGGACATCCTCATTATTTTCTCAGTAGAGAATTAGGTTTTATTCAAGCTTTTGTTGTCCTTTTTTGAAAATCTGTTATTATTTTCATGCCTGGAACTTCAATTGTCGGATTCCTGTTACGCGTAACAAGGAGCGGTGTGCTGAGTACAGAAAAGAAAATGTTGATTTCCGGACCGATAAAACAATATCTTCACAAAAATAGATAAATAAATAGAATAAAAACGTGGCTTTGTCCACATATTTATTTGATAGGCTCAGATGGACGTATTTAAGTTCACTTAATAAAATGTCTTCTTATGCGTACTTAGGCTCAGGGACTGTCTTATGAAATGTTTTCATCACATTTATAATGATCTAAGATAAACGTTTTCAATATTAGATATAAACAGTGTGTACATTTGTTTGTAGGGACGGAGCAGATGTATTTATTTATGCAGTCAAATATCTGACAATCAGGCGGCTACACGGGTTTTTATATGAAAGTTTTGTTCCCCCTCCAGATTATGAAGAAAAGCTTATCATTCTATTACATGTTCTAGCCCCACCTACATGTAGACATATCCAAACCCACCCCAATCTGCCATTAACTATTGTTAGATTTATGGTAGAAGGAATGAACAATTACATTATTATAATATATTATTGTATATTTAAACACACACTTTATGTCACCAAGAGATTTTTATTTGAAAAATCGCTATATGGGTTTTGTGCTTTAACTGCAGGTGTTTACTTCCTTTTCTATCACATACACACACCACACAGTTTAATAAAAATTGTTCAGTATATTACAGATTCAGTGCGTTGTTATATACTGGGGATTGTGTGTAGTATGCAACAGGGAGTTGTTTAAACACGGGTAACATTACGTCAAATTTTCTCTAATTTTGTTTCGAAAAACCGATCTCGTGTATGTGTGATGGCTAAACTTCTGCTCTTTAAAGGTAAGAAAATCGAGCTTGGACTTAAAAGCTTTCTTTGCATCAAAATCGTTACATTTTTGTGCTAAGTTCCAGAATTTACCCACTAAGGATTGGGATTTATAAATAAACTACCCTCTAACAGGGCCGTGATTGTTTCACTAGATTTTCTAAGATTTTCCTCTTTCTGTTGCTCTGCACTTTTCTGAACTGAGAAATTATTAAAAAAAGAATGATGTCATCACGCAGCTGGGCTCTGGTAGAGAATAGGAATTTTACTTTAGATTCTTTTTCTTTTTTTCTGGAATTGGCTTTTGTATGAACTGTGAAAATGAATATACAAGGAGAGTTCGTTAAAATGGTTTACGAATTTTTTCTCTCTCGTGAGGATAGTCTGGTCCCATCCAAGTCTTATGATGGATACCAAAACATCCAAAAACTCCCTACAAACCCTTGCAAGTTCACTTTTTTCCGTCAAGAATTCTGAAATTCCGAAAATAAATAACAATATAGACAAATAAATCGACAGATGAAATTAGATATAAATATAACTGAAGAAAGTTCCAGCCTTTGGCGAACACTGCAGTAAACGCCACGGAAATGGAGAAAGAAAAAAGGCAGTACTGTAGTACAGCAGTATATAACCGTGACCACACTTTCCCATCCTTCACATCAATGAGCTTTATTACAGCAAATAGCGACTAACAGCCCAGACTTGTAGGTTAACCAGCAGCCACATGCCCTCAATTAGTTTTTCTGTTGAACTTCTGGGCCACGGAAGAACGGATGGTGTGTGTGCTATCAAAGAGCCTGTCACCTCGAGTTTCCGTGTGAATAAATTCCGTCCTCTCTCTCTCGTAATGTTTTTTTAGATATCATTAATATTACTTGAAATTAAAAGGTAGCGATTTTATTAAATTACAGTTATTAAACAAGCAAATAATTGTATCTTTATCCAAGAATTATAAACACCGCAAGTAAAACATGTTGGGAAAAAATGCTGTGAAATTCAGGACCAGTTTCAGTGGTTGACCTCGTAATTCAGAGTGTCAGCGAGCTGGGAAAAGCGCAGGGAAACAAGAGCACGGATCAGCGCACCACTATTATTAAGATCGCACCGCCTGGGCGACGATGCCAGCCTATAATGTTCAGGCATGGTGTCAAGTTGCTAGTGATCTCAGGTTGACACTGTGAGAAAGAAGAGAATTATGGCGAAGTCTACAAAAGATCACAAAAGAGATGAATGTTTAAGCTGGAGATAAGTTTTTTTCTGTATTTTTGTACGCACATCACGGCTTTACCAGTAACTTGTATAGAATGGAACAAAGAAGAGATTTACACTTTCCCTCTTGATTTGAAAACAAGCAAAAGAATAAATAAGAATTTAATATTTATAATGAATTTGTACCAAATATTTTTTCAAAACATAAAAAGGTAAAATATTAAAGATAAATATAAATTAATAAATATAAAAGTAAAGTTGAACTATAGATAGCGCAGCCTAATTATTCTTTTGTCACAGTGATTGATGTTAGACATGTTATCTTAATAATGCGTTAACTAAATAAATTATTTTCCGTTTGATCTGAATAAAATGAAATGTGTAAAATTCCGTTTTTTCGCGAAAAACGCAACGGAGCTTTGCTAAAATATAAGTGTAAACAATAACAATCTCCACCGAGTGACGCCATGTTGTTGTGTCCTCGGTCGTATTCAATATTTGACACATCGCATATGAACTCTGGAATTCCCGACATGTAGGGTTGTTATTCGATTTAATTCAATTTCGATGATATGATACTAGAAATATTGTTCTGTTTGTTCTGTGAACCACTACAGGTATACTTCACGGAAATACTATAACCGGAAGGGAACCGCAAGCACGTGGAAGCCTGGTGACTCAGTCGACGCACTGAACGCGCTGCCAATCATGTATAGACAACAATGGAAGTGATCCCGCTTACTTCACACTAACAATCTCAAAATGTTAGCTCAAACTTGAGCCCAAACAGAACAAAAGAGAGAGAAAGATGGGGAGTGAATGCTGTCGGGTTTTCTTCGTTTTGTTATGAATTTGGTGACTGAGGATGTGTAAATTTTGAGTTGATGAAGATTTAGCAGTGGATTGATTACATTTCGGGTCAGTTGGTTGGATCTTCTCTGCCAGGCAAAGCGGAGAAATCGTTCTCTGTTCATTTCAAAGAAAGATGGGATCGGGAGAAAGGAAACTTCGGGTCATCGCAATTTGGAGCTTGGTAAGTGTCTGTATATATATGAGATACGGAGTGGTCGATAAATATGTTCAACAAAAATATTGATTTTTTTTTAAATATAGTCTCACAGAAATCAAATTTAATACCGTGCCTTATCAACCATAACAATATAGGTATATTGTACGTATGTCCCTTGCAAATTACACTATAGGAGAGTATAAAGTAAGATTAGTAAGAGTAAAGTAAAAGAATAGGGAAAGCAAACCTTGGTCAAAAATTTTTTAAAAATGTAAACAACGATATTTTTTTCTTTCTCGTTTATCCAAATTTATGTAATGAAAAAGGTAAACAAAGAAAAGGTACAAGGGGTATCATTGGCAATAAATCTTAAAAACAACTTCATGTTCTACCTTTGAATTAAGACGCCACTTCTTTTTTGATAAACTGTAAAAAAAGGCAAAATAATTATTATAAGCACGTCTTAAACCTGTATGGCTTTAAGACCTGTCAAACCACGTGGAAACGTAGCAGCCTTAGGCGTAATATTCACCAGTAAATTACACATATGCATCATCTCAGTATACGTGACTGTCTTCAGGTGTGTGGGTCCTTGGTCCTCGGTCTACGAGCCGTGTTGTACGTCCTGCGTGACTCAGTGGGTGTCTTGTCCCCACACTATGGAGGGGGGCAAGCGGCGGAGGGTACGTGGTGGGAAAAATGATTTAAAATGTGAATGAGAATAACATTGGAATACGTGGAGATTAGACGTAAGGATGTATTTATATAAAATTTTGGAAGAGAATATTCAGACGGAGTCTTCATTTGCTCTAATTTTTAACTTATGGTTTTTTTTTTTCTTTTTGAAATGGTTGAATGCGTTTGTAGCTTTTAAACGGGGTTTTGTTTATTTTTGTTTACCAAAGGACACATTAAGCTGGAGAATGTTCATTTGAGAATAAGTGCAGTAGAAAACCCACATACTTTGAGAAAGATATATTACTTCCATTTATAACTAAGTGCGTAAGATGTAGAAATTATTTGACAGTATAAAGATTTCGTTTTTAAGAAAACAAATTCACTTTCATGATTGTCACTTATTTATTGTTATTTGTTAATGGATTAAAGACGCCATTTCAGACGCCATTTCACGTTTCAGACGGCGGCCACGTTCAGGATACCGCTCTGGAGGTTGCAATGTTAATTCTAGACATCGTTGTTCTCTCTTTTTGGATACTGAGCACCATTCTTTTTTACAGGGGCATAGCTAAGGTAAGATGATCTCTGAAAAGAGGGTGTACCGTCAAAATACAATGAGGAATCTATAGCATTTTCTCAGTGCACCTGTAGCGTTTACAGGTCACGAGGATCATTTATAATTTTTGTATTAGCGTTATGAGATTAGTCAGCAGTCATGAGACGTCCATCTGCTATATTAACACAGTGCAGTGCAGTGCTTATACAGTGCGTATAGGTTTCCCCAAGTCAATGACGTCAGTGTATGAAAACGGCCCAATTTTCCAACTTTTTTGTTAAGAATCAAACACAGCTTTACATACCTTTAGAGAATGAAGTATTGTTTATTGAATAGGCTCGATGATCTCAGTTATGAAAATTGTGAAATTTACCTGGTTGTTTTCAGATGTCTTTAAGCCACCTGTTCCCTTGGTTTCTTATGACCGTGGCAGTCACAGGCGTCTTTGTCTATAAACTAATACGAGACTTCTCAAATGCTGGTAAGATACAGATATTCCCTTTTCCTTCACGTTATAAATGTTTGTGTGTGTGCGTGTGTGAGTGTGTGTGTGTGCGTGTGTGTGCCTTCGTATATGTGCCCGTGCGTTCGTGTGTGTTCGCGTTAATGTGTACGCGCGTGTGTGCGGACGTGGGTAGAGAGAAGGGTTAAGAAATAGAAAAATAGTGAATATAAAACGAAGCAATTCAAATGTTTGATAATAACTGTCTATGTCAACAATGTGAAAAAAAATCACAGAGCGACTGAAGCACACGTACATAAATTCAAATACGATCAAATGACACTGATGTGAATTTTAAATGAACATGATTATGCTTGAATTGATATATTTCATTTAGGATCTTTTGTTTTCGAATGTTGCTGTTTCTTGATACATTTTAAATATCAAATATTGACAATTTTTTATCTTTTCGATAGATCATAGATTTCGCGACAAGCCGATCAACATCACTTGGTTCGTTATATCTTTTATTGCGGTTGCTGTGAACGTAAGTTTTATTTTTACTTATTTGCAGTTTAAGACGCCTTGAAATGATTGATATAAAATACATACAGATGTCACCAAAGTAATGTGTCATTAAGTTAAATGGGATCAAAAACGACAGTTGGATGATATTGAAATATAAAATTGTGCCAAAGCTAATATATGAGTTTGATAATGTAGTGCAATTAACATATAATGTTATTATTCTTTTTAGACACTTGCTGTTTTGTACGTTTTGCAGTACATGCGAGAGAACAATAGGAAATTCATGAGTAAAGTATGCAAGATTTCATTTTCTACAAATTATAACAGATGGAACTCTAATTGCTTTTATCTCTAAAGTTTATAAGTCAATATAATGAACAGGTTTACCCTTACGGCCACTCTCTACTCCAAAAGGTTTAGCTTGTAATATTTATTTAGCACCGGTACCAATAGATGCGATTGACTTTGCTCACAATATTATTTTGCGGCGTTCCAATCTCTTTGTAGAAAATGTCATAGTGTTATTCACCAGAAACGCATTGAATGTTAATATCCAGAGTATTCTTTATCCTGTCAGTCACTTGCACAGAGTCTCATGTCAGTATTCTCCATATTACAGCGTGTGGAGCAGAGACCGTTGCCGGAGTCGATCGGAGCAGAATCACCCAGAGCCGCAGCAGAGAACCACTCTACATCGATATTCGGGCCTCCAGTCTACATGGACCCTACTAATGTTGTCCCTTCCACGAGTGTTCCATTAACAGCTGAAAATAATCCAAAGTGTGCTAATGATATTTTCCGGAAAGTTTTGTCACCATTCGTCAAAAAAATGAAGAGGGACGAGGGTCACATATATCTAAATTCTGAGCCAGTGGAATCGTCACTTTTGGGTGATGTGGAGCGCAGTGCCCACTCACTGCCAGGTTATGCAAATTCATCAGTTTTGGGAGTGCATGATGATGCGTCCGCCACAAATAACGAGCAGGAACAAAGCGGTAAGGCGAACGCTGTAAAAACACGTCGACCTGTGGCCCTGCCCCGTTGTCGCCACCAAGACGTCAGCGGAGTCACTCACGGGGTCAATTGTTATGCTTCTAGCAATGTCCAGAATTTAGGAACAGAGCGGTGCGAAAGTATACAAGTCAATTCTGGTGTCTGTAATTCTGAGCAGGACTCGGAAGAAGCATTTGAATATATTTATGATGACATTATCCCAGTTTTACCGCAACAGTCGATGACTAATGACATTACTCTAGCAGAAAAGTCAGAAAGTGGCACTGGCCACCGCAATACACACTGTAACGCCATTGGATCACCTACAACTCAAGGAGGCAATTGTCAAGAAGGCAATTGCCATAAATTGGAAAGTGGCAGTGAGCTTAAACATGGCCATGTCAGCAAAATGAAAGCTTTGCTTTTTGGTAGCGCTTGAAAAGATCGAATTGTATATAAGGGGAGGACGCGCAACGTTAAGAAGAGGAAATAACTGCCGTTTTATTTACAAACAATTCACGCGTATACCTCTTTTTACAAAATGCAAAATGGTTGGGTTAATGAGCATATTATTCAAGTGCCTCAACCAAACGAATAGCGGGAACATTATTTTTTAAAAAAATTATCTCTCAAATGAACTGAATGAACTGAATTTCACATATCTAGTGCAATTGCAATCTTCCTCAATGCTAAATGGCGGTAAACCAAGCTGGCTAGACGAGGAACTCACTTGCTAATACTCTCCCAGCGGTACACTTCGTTATTTACATGAACACCGGTCTCATTCTGTTGCTTTAAAATCACCATTGTTTATTGAGAAGACATACCCAGTTTATTTATGTCAGTTACCCTCACGTGTTCACAAGGCAACATATGTTCCTCTGGATTGTTCCACAGTTACTCAGGGTAGAGTGGATTGGTGACATGGGGCTGGTCCCCACTTTTTATCAAATATCAACTGTAAAGAATACTCAAACGAATTCTAAATGCACTTTTGAGCATATTGTTTTCTACAGGGGCGGAGATTTATTGCCTTTTTCGTTATAAAAGTTTCATTACTTTATAAATTTCGCCTTTTTTGTTATAAAAGTTTCATTACTTTATAAATTTCAAGTTGTGTGAGGTTTAAAGTAGTTGCATAGCGAAAAAGGGAATATTAAGTTATACAGTTGCAGTTTAGCAAAGTAGCTTCTCGGTGCACTTGTTGTTATATAAATTTGCGATTTACCTGAATATCTTATTTAATATTTAAAACTCAGATCAGAAATCAAACATATCCTGATATACAACCTTGTATTTCATATAAATTGTCATTGAATTGTTTAAATGAGTGTTTGCTTGCCCAACACGCCATTCCTTCTTTGTATTTGACTGAAGCAAGTCGAATCTTCGCTGTAGCTGTTGTATAATAGTGAAATAGTGAACTGATCAAAACTGAGGTTAGGTCTTGGAGATTGCTCCTGATTCAGGTCTTGAAACGTGATATCACAAACAGATGGCTGAGCTTACGTTATGAATTATAAATCCACATTTCATAAATATTTCACCGTGATTTTAGGCATCAGAAGTACAGGTAGAATGAACATAGCAACCCGCATTTAGTTAACAATGTTTCCTAGTCGATGCTATGCCGAGATCTGGGATCACGAGTATATATCTCAGGAATATTAGGATTCACCGCAGAAGAAAAGCAAGTACTTGTTTGTAATGTTGTAATTTCTGTTATAAATTATTTCTGGTCAAATCTGCGAAATATGGTACAGTAGCCTGGTTTCAAGTTGTTAATATGGTATTTTTTCGTTAATTTTCTCGACGTGTCAAGTTATTGCATTAATCATTTCTCGGTGGATACAATTTTGCCATTATCGATGATAATAATTAGTGTATAAGAAACTGTTTTTGCTTGGACGTTGGTGATTGTCTCTCGTAAGTGACATCATGAAACATTCTGAAAGTATTTTTTAAAGAGAGATTCCGTGTTTCGAGAGGCATTTTCATAGGAGCACATTTTATATTACCTTTGTATCAACTTAAGATCCAAGATGTCGGACATGAGGTGGATGTAAATGTTACCGATCAAAAAGGTGTTATTTTATTTCGTTGCTGGATAAACCTTCTTTTTTCCTGAATGAACAGTTGCCCTCAATCTTTGAAAAAATGTCAATATTTGATTTCTAAACAGGGTTAGAATCTGAATGAAAAACAGATTTAAACTCCAATTTTTTAAAACATTTCCAAAGATATAAGTCATCAGATTAGAAAAAGAGATATTTCCAAATGTCAGACTGTTTATTATTTATCAAAATGATATGGAACAAAAGTATTGTGGATGGCTTAATAAATGGTTGTAGGCTTAAACACACTTGAACACTGTCTTATATAGATGTCCGTTTAAATATTTAAAATATTTGTCGTCTGCTTTTTAATGCACCGGAACACACGAGGACAAGCGGTTTTCAAACATTTTCACTTGAGCTTCTACTCTTTCTAGAAGGGTTAGTAAACATATTTTACTATACTTTATAAATGTAATTCCAGCATTGTGTACCTGTATATATTACTACCAATATCACTGATTCTTGTTGCGTTTCATTTCCAGACGTACCACATCCGGATTATCGCAAGTATGATCATTTCACGGAGGCCGCTTGTCAACATAGCCGTGATCACTTTAATCGTTATCTTTGTCACGTTGTGTGCCGTTATAAAAAGACAGTCGAACGAAATAAACGAGATCATCAGAAAACTGTTAAACAAACCCAAAAACAGACCATTATTGAAGACAAACTATTTTGAATGTTCGGATTATGTATACGAAAACAGAGGGACGAGTTCAATGTTTTGCCTGAGGACGAATACCCGTACGGCCACAGGTTGTGGCAAAGATGGCGTACCCTATCAGTGGCTACCGAAATTTACCACAGACTGGCAATCAGAAAAACTCCAAGAATTTAAAGTCCTTTCGGCGGCAGCACTACGCGCTTGCGGCGACCATTGTGAAGGCAGCATCGGAAGGAGCCGAGTGCAAGCGGACATGTACGAAGAAGTTGTGAAGGCGCCTTTTATAAATCGTGTCTGTGAGACGGGGTTCAACGTGGGGTATAGCTCCATGGTTCTCTTGTTGTCAAACCCCAATATTTCTCTCACTAATTACGATTTCGGAATGTACATTACTCCGGAGATTAAATCATTCTTCGAAAAAACATTCCCGGGTGGTTTTAAGATGGTTATGGGGGACACAAGAAAAACATTACCATCCCACGTGAAATCCAAGCAAACCTGTGAGCTCCTAATCATCGATGGTGGTCATAGATATGAAGAAGCTTTAGCAGATTATCAGCTCATGAGGTGGATGGCAAACAAAACACACAATCTGGTCATAATGGATGATTTGTACTGTCTCAGTATGTTCTGTAAAGGACCGAGGCAGGTATGGCAGGAGGCAATAGACCGCGGGGAACTGAAGGAGTTGTATGGGTGCGCGGGGAGATACAAGGGGAGGTGGTTCCGAGGCTTCGCCGTTGGGCAGTTCGTCTTTTGAAATTAAGTAAATAGGAAACTGAAGTCAGAAATGGTATTTACAGTTAGAGGAAAAAAGTGACTTTCCCGATCAGCTGTCAACTCAATGTAAACACTTTTGATTTTGTATTTAGGGACTTTCGTGTATATACTGACGTTGTTTCAAAGAGGAAAACAGAAAACTCTGTTCATTTATTAAGCTCATATTGACCACAGACGAACGGTAGCGCAAAGGCTTACTTAGGTAGGCTACATGTATTATAAGGCCCAGTTTCACATTACCACTAATTACAACCTATATTAATTTTTAAACAAGGAATTAGAGACTTTAATGAGCTTTATAAATGGTGTGTGCTTTGATTAAATTTACGCGTCCCGTGAATTAGTATTCAGTGTATCCAATGTAGCATTAGGTTCAGTACTGCAATGGCTTATACATGTATTATCCGTGAATACTGCTATTGTTGAATCTCACCACTCAACACCAAATGTGGGGGATGGAGATAGAAAGAATTATAATTGATTTAATATTGTATTAAATTTTAATTTGTGTAATTCCATGATGCATAAGTCAAATGAAATTGATCATGAGAGAACAGTAATGAAGTGAACTGATAAAAAGTTTATACATCAACGCGTCTGTTGTCATTTTCACCATATTTTCATGATCGTAAGGAAGTTAACATGGGTTGTTTTGCCCGGTTCATATAACTACTGAAGTTATTAACAAGTTTGCAGTTCTCAGTCAAACAATGAACCTGTCTACAGTCCACCGGAAAGGACCAGTAACATAGAATTAACCACGAGTTAACGAAGGGACATGGTGTGTTAGCTTGGGCGAGAAAGTCTCAGTTGAGATAAAAAATATTTCTGCTGTTGTTGCGATTTGTGTGATTAATTGCTTTAGGTGAGACACCGACATACTTTATAATGTCTTCGTAGTTAATTACTTCACACAAAAATTTTTCAACTTAAAGTAATTCTCTTTTCTGAAAAAAAAAAAATTTCTTGCTTACTTGAAGATACATGGCTTCACGAATTTATCTTGAACGCTCGAAATATTAACATTTGTAAACAATAAAGGTATGTGGTCACATTGTATTGATTCAGGTTGTAGGGCCTTTGAAACAGAGTTAAAGTGAAATATTTAAGATGTACCCGCACACTCAGGATTGAATATTTTTCACGGTACAGCGTATAGTGAAAAATGATTGTCTTTGCGTTACGTCACAAGCATGTGACAGTGCTGAGTAGTAGTCACAGGTGTGACTATTAGGTGTACTTTGCAGTAGCACTTCAGTTCTAGCCCGACAGCTTAGCAGTTAGGACACACTAAAAATTTATTTTATAAATATTTATTTGGGTTTGTGAATTCAGAGTGAGGTCTGTCACTCTAGATCTCTGAATATCATGCATCTATATTTTATAGGGCGATGATTCGCATAAGTTAGCATCGCAGCTACAGACACAGTTTTCCATAGTGACTTTACTGTTTCGCATGCACAGTTTTATCTATGGTTTTTACTGAGCGGCATGTTATTCTTAAGGAGATTTGTTTTACGCACAGTTTTTCGGAAATGTATAATAATAGTAATAATAACGGAGTTCAAAGTTAATTTATCGGTAGAAGATTAAGTACATTCAATATGTCATTATTTGAGTTTGATACTCAAATGGTATATTAAAAAAAAAATCTATTAGTAAAACAAAGCACAAATATATATTACACACAACGTATTGTATTATTTGTTAATGAATTCCAATTGAAAGAAATAAAACCGACTCCCTTCTCTTATCGGCCGGGCTAGTCGGCAAATAAGTATTTGCCTTTGGCCACACTTTTTTAATTTTATGGATGACATCCTGCGCGCGCACCGATTTTCGCCCNGCATTCTGAGTTTCAAGAGTCGGCAGAAACTTGGGTCACTTTTTCTAATTTCCCGGCTGTTGAACAAGCGCATCTGGTACGATTTATCTGTTATCAAAAATATATTACCGCAGATGCTTTTGCCATCGTCTTGATAAGGGAATATAATAAACGATCTTAGTGTGTTCTTAATACGATTTATGATAAAATTTAGCTGTCCGTCACTTTCATAAAACAGACAACATATTCTTGTTAAGAATCAAAAATAGTTTAAGATACTTTTAGTGAATGAAGTATTTTTATTGTATGGGCTCGATGATCTCAGTTATGAAAATTGTGAAATTTACCTGGTTATTTTCAGATGTCTTTAAGCCATCTGTTCCCTTGGTTTCTCATGACCGTGGCAGTCACAGGGGTCTTTGTCTATAAACTAATACGAGATTTCTCAAATGCTGGTGAGATACTGATATTCCTTTTTCCTTCACGTTATAAATGTGTGTGTGTGTATGTGTGTGTGTGCGTGTGTGCCTTCATATGTGTGTGTGTGCGTGCGTGTGTGTTCGCGTTCATGCGTGTGTGCGGACTTCAGTGCAAGTTCACTTTTACCTACAGGATGAGACGAGACTGAAAATCGAAACAGACAAGATAAGATTTTCAAAAACAAAGAAAATGATGTCATAAAAAATTTAAATACACAAGAAAAAAATAAATAAGACTAAAAAAAGAAAACAATTTTTAAAAAGCATTGGTAGCCATAGTTACCCCTCCCTCGAAAACAAACAAACAAACAAACAGACAGACAGACAGACAAGCAAACAGACAGACAGGCAGAAAAATAAACAAACAGACAGACAGACAGACAAACAAACAAACAAACAAATAATCCTCACACAATCCTCACGTAAAAAAGAACCCTGGCGTCTATTTCTAACTACTAAGAAGTAAAAGACAACAAAGACCCAGACATAAATGATGGCATTTTACCCTTTTTATCTTTACGCCCGGGGATGAACTAAGAGGAACCACTCAACGTTAAAAACGTATTTGAAAATAGTGAACTGATCAAAACGAGGTTATGTCGTGGAGATTGCACCACATTCAGGTATTGAAACGTGACATCACCAGCAGATGGCTCAACTTATTTTTAAATTTAAAAAGCGAATGCTTACGTTATGAATTATAAATCCACATTTCAAAAATACTTTACCGTGATTTTAGGCATCAGAAATACAGGAAGAATGAACATAGCAACCCGCATTTAGTTAACAATGGTTCCTAGTCGATGCTATGCCGAGATCTGGGATCACGAGTGTATATCTCAGGAATATTAGGATTCACCGCAGAAGAAAAGCAAGTACTTGTTTGTCATGTTGTAATTTCTGTTACAAATTTTTACTGGTCAAATCTGCGAAATATGGTACAGTTGCCTGGTTTCAAGTTGTTTATATGGTATTTTTTTCGTTATTTTTCTTGACGTGTCAAGTTATTGCAGTAATCATTTCTCGGTGGATACAATTTTGGCATTATCGATGATAATAATTAGTGTATACAAAACTGTTTTTGTTTGGACGTTGGAAACATTTTGAAACATTTTGAAATTTTTTTTAAAAGAGAGATTGCATGATTCAAGAGGCATTTTCATAGGAGCACATTTCATATTACATTTGTATCAACTTAAGATCCAAGATGTCGGACGTCAGGTGGATATAAATGTTACCGATCAAAAAGGTGTTATTTCTATTTCGTTGCTGCATAAGCCTTCTGTTTTCTGAATGAACAGTTGCCCTCAATCTTTGAAAAAAATGTCAATATTTGATTTCTAAACAGGGTTAGAATCTGAATGAAAAACAGATTTAAACCCCAATTTTTAACAGCTTTTCCAATGATGTAACTCAGCAGATTAAAAAAGAGATATTCCCAAATGTCAGACTGTTTATTATTTATCAAAATAATATGGAACAAAACTGTTGTGGATGGGTTAATAAATGGTTGCAGGCATAAACGCACTGGAACACTGTCTTATATAGATGTCCGTTTAAATATTTAAAATGTTTGTCGTCTGCTTTTTGATGCACCCGAACATACGAGGACAAGCGGTTTTCAGACATTTTCACTTGAGCTTTTACTCTTTCTAGATGGGTTAGCAAACATATTTTACTATACTTTATAAATGTAATTCCAGCATTGTGTACCTGTATATATATATATATATATATATTACTACCAATATCACTGATTTTTGTTGCGTTTCATTTCCAGACGTACCACATCCGGATTATTGCAAGTATGATCATTTCACGGAGCCCGCTTGTCAACATAGCCGTGATTACTTTTATCATAATCTTTGTCACGTTGTGTGCCCTTATAAAAAGACAGTCGAACGAAATAAACGAGATCATCGGAAAACTGTTAAACAAACCCAAAAACAGACCATTATTGAAGACAAACTATTTTAAATGTTCGGATTATATATACGAAAACAGAGGGACGAGTTCAATGTTTTGCCTGAGGACGAATCTTCGCACGGCCACAGGTTGTGGAAAAGATTTCATACCCCATCAGTGGCTACCGAAATTTACCACAGACTGGCAATCCGAAAAACTCCAAGAATTTAAAGTCCTTACGGCAGCGGCACTACACGCTTGTGGCGACCATTGTGAAGGCAGCATCGGAAGGAGCCGAGTGCAAGCGGACATGTACGAAGAAGTTGTGAAGGCGCCTTTTATAAATCGTGTCTGTGAGACGGGGTTCAACGTGGGGTATAGCTCCATGGTTCTCTTGTTGTCAAACCCCAATATTTCTCTCACTAATTACGATTTCGGAATGTACATTACTCCGGAGATTAAATCATTCTTCGAAAAAACATTCCCGGGTGGTTTTAAGATGGTTATGGGGGACACAAGAAAAACATTACCATCCCACGTGAAATCCAAACAAACCTGTGAGCTCCTTATCATCGATGGTGGTCATAGATATGAAGAAGCTTTAGCAGATTATCAGCTCATGAGGTGGATGGCAAACAAAACACACAATCTGGTCATAATGGATGATTTGTACTGTCTCAGTATGTTCTGTAAAGGACCGAGGCAGGTGTGGCAGGAGGCAATAGACCGCGGGGAACTGAAGGAGTTGTATGGGTGCGCGGGGAGATACAAGGGGAGGTGGTTCCGAGGCTTCGCCGTTGGGCAGTTCGTCTTTTGAAATTAAGTAAATAGGAAACTGAAGTCAGAAATGGTATTTACAGTTAGAGGAAAAAAGTGACTTTCCCGATCAGCTGTCAACTCAATGTAAACACTTTTGATTTTGTATTTAGGGACTTTCGTGTATATACTGACGTTGTTTCAAAGAGGAAAACAGAAAACTCTGTTCATTTATTAAGCTCATATTGACCACAGACGAACGGTAGCGCAAAGGCTTACTTAGGTAGGCTACATTTTCACATTACCACTAATTACAACCTAATTTAATTTTTACACAAGGAATTAGAGACTTTAATGAGGTTTATAGTTGGTGCGTACTTTGATTAAATTTACGCGTCCCGTGAATTAGTATTTAGTGTATCCAATGTAGCATTAGGTTGAGTACTGCAATGGTTTATACATGTATGTATTATCCGTGAATACTGCTATTGTTGACTCTCACCACTCAACATCAAATGTGGGTCTGGAGATGGAAGAATCTAAAATTAATGTAATTCTGTATTAAATTTTCATTTGTGTAATTCCATATTGCATAAGACGAATGGAATTGATCATGAGAGAACAGTAATGAAGAGCGCTTTTAAAAAGTTTATCAACGTGCCTTTTGTCATTTCCATCATAGATATGAATATTTTCATAGTCGCAGGGAAGAGAAAATGGATTAATTTGCCGGTTCATATGACTACTGAAGTTATTAACAAGTTTGCTGTTCTCTGTCAAACAATGAATCTGTCTACAGTCCACCGGAAAGGACCAGTAGCATAGAATTCACCACGAGTTAACGAAGGGATATGGTGTGTTAGCTTGGGCGAGAAAGCGTCAGTTGAGAGAAAATATTTTTGCTGTTGTTGCGATTTGTGTGATTAATTGCTATAGGTGAGACAGCGACGTTCTTTATAATGACTTCGTCGTTTATTACTTCACACAAAGATTTTTCAACTTAAAGTAATTCTCTTTTCTAAAAAAAAATAATAATAATAAATTTCTTGCTTACTTGAAGATACATGGCTTCACGAATTTATCATGAACGCTCGAAATATTAACATTTGTAAACAATGAAGGTATGTGGTCACATTGTATAGATTCAGGTTGTAGGGCCTTTGAAACATAGTTAAAGTGAAATATTTAAGGTGTACCCGTACACTCGGGATTAAGAGTTAAGAGCGTTCCGCCGCTCAGTCGGCAGAAACTTGGGTCAGTTTTTCTAATTTCCCGGCTGTTGAACAAGCGCATCTGTTATCAAAAATATATTACTGCAGATGCTTTTGCCATCGTCTTGATAAGGAAATATAATAAACGATCTTAATGAATTCTTTATACGATAAAAGTTAGTTGTCCGTCACTTTCATAAAACAGACAATACCAAAGAAAAATCACAATGCTTGAACCACTCCCGGCTGTCATCTTGATCGGCTTCAGAATATAATCCACCTCTCTTGTCTCCCATTGTAAATATTTTAAAACTCGATTAACAAATTTTCCAAAATCGCCTTACACAGTCTACTAGAATTTAAATCGTTATTTAGTTGATATTCTTACTTCAAAGATCAACAGGGCAAGTGATAATGTTGCCCCACACACACACACACACAAATGACCCTATCTCACAACTCTGTATGTGTGAATAATAATAATAATAATAATAATAATAATAATAATAATAATAATAATATTATTATTATTATTATTATTATTATTATTAAAGAACTAGTGGTAGTATAGCCTACTTCAGTAGGTTCATAACAGATCAAGGTGACAAGCTAAATTGTTATTTCATATTTTGTTAGAAACCGGGAAAAAGATATGAAACACCTTCTTAACACTTTGTTTGGTTATTTTAAAACGAAAATTTTCTACGACGAAAACGACAAAAAATCTTTGATAAGATATATTACCTTCCTCATTGTGTTAGCTGAGACACTCTTTAGTATTCAGAGACAAGAAGGCGATGCACTTTAAAAAACAAAACAACATGGCCGAGTAGCTTGCAGGTGCCTTTGAGGTAAGTGCGACTAAAATATCTTATTTTCTCCCTCATGCATGCATATATTAACCATTTCTTCACTTGAGATTCCTCTTTGTTTCAACGAAAGTCGTTTGATATGCTTCATTTCAGAGTGTGGAGTTCATTTCAATGGAAATATAGCCAAAGCGACATACCGGTGCGTGACCTCATTTCTCGTCATTCATTCGACAGTCTGTCCAGCCGCAATGTCCGGCGTCGAGTTACGATCTCTTGACGGAGGCGAAAACATTGAAATACCCAAGGAAAAATGCACCATCGGCAGAGGCACTCTTCTTAAGGTACGCTTTGTGTCCCTTGCGTGAGTGAGATTTATATATGATGCCTTTGTTGTTTTGTGTCGTCAGTCTGCACAAGTTACTGTGGAGAGATTGCTAATGAGATTTATATTCATGTCATGAATATTACGTAATCTGGATATTGTTCAGACACGATCCTCTCGGGTAGCAGTGGTTTCTAAGGAAATGTATGGAAAGTGCTTCAGCACTGATGGTAATGACACACATGACATTATAAAGTGTCGTGTCTTTCTTAGATAATTTAGGGAAAAGCACCACAGTGAAGCCATTAAAAATAAATAAAAGCTGTGATTTACATCAAATGGCTAGATTGGCTAGAACATTTTCCTTCGTGAAAATGAACTTCTTTCCTTAGGGAACACACCATCATATTAAAACTATTTCTTTGAAGAGGATATTAATAGAAAGGGAAGATCAAGTTTCAGAGATGAAAGCACACTGTTTTGTCAAAACATTGTGATTTGCTAGTTTGAGATGAGATCTAATTTCCTGCAGCAGGAAGCTTCTAAACTCAGAAATATTTTCTGCTGACAGATTTTATTAACCTGCCTGTAAGATTATTTGTATATCATTTGCAATCATGCTTAAAGAAGTGGATGTAAAGAAGCTCACTTTGAGATACGGGTAACTCTTATTAGAATAAAAATTGTGTACTTGTATGCTATTTGGTATATTTTCTGATTTAATTAGCAAAACCATAATCTGAAAAATGCATATTAATGCAACACGATGCAGGTAAACTGATGAAATTAATCCATAGTATATTGATTGCTGTAGAGGAGAAGACAATAAAGATTGATCTCGTTGGAAACATTCACAAATTGTCATTGACAGATATTTGACTATACTATAAAAAAACCAGGCATCCTGTTGTGGTAAAAAAAGAACTTCCAAAGACATTCTAGAAGTGGTTAAATCATGGTAATCTGTAAAAAAAAACTTTCTACTCTCATAATTTCTCGTATGTATATAGAGCCCTCTCAGCCATTTCTCAGGAGAAGACAATAAAGATTGATCTCGTTGGAAACATTCACAAAATGTCATTGACAGATATTTGACTATACTATAAAAAACCCAGGCATCCTGTTGTGGTAAAAAAAGAACTTCCAAAGACATTCTAGACGTGGTTAAATCATGGTAATCTGTAAAAAAACTTTCTACTCTCATAATTTCTTGTATGTATATAGAGCCCTCTCAGCCATTTCTGACTGTTACTGTATCATGTATGACAAATACTATGGGTAATGCTGGCAGTGCTTACTACAGCTACAGGGAAGTGTTTTGCAGATTATTATGCTGTTAAATTTGCACTGATTTAGTTGTTGGACACTTTATTATTGAGAATTAAGGATGTAATTTGAAACCTGTCATTGAGATTTAAAATGTCCATGTCCATGTGCTAGCCAAAGGGGCACAGAATTATGGAGTGAAACATGGAGATTTATTTATTTATTTATTCATTTATTTTATGAGGGGGCTGTTAATGGCATGGTTTACTACATTAAGAAAAAAAATTGACACAACTTTGAGACTGTTGTCTAAGAGCCATTCCCATAGTGCTTTCAAAGTTTTTTTCCACCATTGCCATCCCTTTCCATTATGGAGTCTCATGTGGACTTATTTGATGCTATACAAATGGTGTTAAAACGGTATATTTATGTCAGATGATGGTAAGCAGTCTCAAACCTCTCCTCCCCTTCATACATAAAATAATCTCCTTTGCATTTTCTGAACCCTTGAGCTGATTCAGATTTTTTGCTTGTAAAGAAAACACGTGCTATGAGAACTAGAAAGATCTGTAGTATAATAAAAGCCTAGGTATGAATAGAACACCTGAAAAGTCTCTGATATTTCATAAAAAATAGCATTTCTCTGGTCTGATCATGTAAATAATGAATACAGTAGAGTACACATTTATTACACCAGAATGTACTTGACAAAAAAGTACAGATAGAGGTATACATACAAGAACAGGACACTAGGCCATACTATGATTCCACCATGTTGTCATGTGACGTAATGCAGTTTTGTTGCCATTTTATTGCAGGCTATTTCCTGTTTTCTCTATCATACTGTACATAAGGTTTATTTCAGCTTTATGTAGGCCCAAAGCAAATATAAAGTACCGTTCACCTCAAGGCTTATTATTTTTCTATATGTACTAATATTTTTTTATAGAAATGGTAATTATGATGAGAAGGCATTACTTCTGTATGACCTTAAAGGCCCCCAGTAATTTTAACATTCAGCATGATAAAGATAATAATTTTGTTTGCTTTTGTAACAGACACTTACAAACCATAAAAAAGGGGTTGGGGACAGGGGAGAAATAACACACAGTACTAAATTCTTATTTCTTCTTTTCCATTTCCATATATCATACAGCTTTAAAATCAAATGATGAACATAATGCCAGTCAGTTATTTATAGAATATGATAAATGATAGGAGTCGGGCAATTTTTTTGGTCTGCAGCTAGTATTATATTGTATTATTAATGTGATTGATCGCTTAATTAAAAAGAATAGATACATTTTATTTCCAGAGTGATTGTTTTGTAACTTTTAAAAATCATTTTCAAAAAATCTGCAAAACTGGGATGGGATGTCATAAAATTCATTTTATGAGTGACTGATAATGGTAAACCCCAATGATATAGAATATGGTACACATGGGGCTTATACTGAATGAAAATTTCATTGAATCAAACTCCACAGAACTCGCACTGAATGTAATCAGATTAACATGCCTTCTCTTATTTCTGAAGTACTCGTAATATCACCAGCTTTTCTGTATTCTACTCAATACCAGCAGGCATCATCTTAATTTGTTAACCTGATTGCATTCAGCAACAGTTGGATCAATCTATGTACAAAGAAAGTTTCATTGGGAATTAACCTAAAGAACATTATAGAAACTATTGACTGAGGTCTTGCCCATGTCACAGATACCAGGGTGTCCATAGAACATTATTGAGGTGTTTAAAATTTGTGAATATTTACCATACTGTGTTCTCTCCACCAGGTCACAGATACCAGGGTGTCCATAGAACATTATTGAGGTGTTTAAAATTTGTGAATATTTACCATACTGTGTTCTCTCCACCAGGTCACAGATACCAGGGTGTCCAGGAACCATGCCACTCTGGAGGTGAATCCTGAGGGAAAGTTGATACTTACTCCTGTAAGTATTGTTATGTTCACAACCATGGATCAAATACGGTGCTTATTTGATTATAGATTCCTCCCACGCTGGCTGTCCCAGCAAGGGCAGAGCTGGTCATGTTTTCAAGTGGGTCACACCATATTAAAGTAAAGAAAATATGTCCAGTTAAAATGCTTTCAAGTTTATAAAGTATAATGCTCTGTAAAGTATAAAATGGTCAGTCATAAAACTTTTAATAACTGTAAATCAATAGATTCCAATGTTAAAGCATTATTCACACATGTCATTCAGATCCACACAAACCCCTGCTTCTACAGAAAGGCAGACGGAGCAGGAAAACAGTGCACCTTGCCCAAGGACAAACCGTTTACCCTGCAGCATGGAGACAAGTTTGGGCTGCTGCCAGAGAAGTTGTTCTTTGAGGTCGTCTACCTGGACATGAGAAATGGAGATGCAAAAGATGAAGAGACGGATGAGGAGGGTGCCATGAAAATAGATTTAGATGCAGGTATATTATAGTTTTATATGAGGTATAATGAATTTTTGTCATTTTGATGTGTGTTATGGTGATATTCATATTTTGCAGCCAGAAAGGTTTTGCTTACTATTAGATTGTTGCTGATGTTATTGGATTCAGAAAGGTGCCTTTAACATATCAAAAAGTGGTGCTTACAAATTTATTCTGTTCTCACATTCAAACTAGCATTAAGATTATACACAATGTGAATGTAAGGAGATAACAAAACTCATAATGCAGTGTATTTCATCTCTATAACTCTAGTGTATTGAAGGCATTTGTAGAGCTTATTCCATGTTATTACAAGTCGTATCTGAATTCAGAAAAAACATCTGCAAAAGAGGAAATGGAAGAAGAGAATGGGAAAGATGAAAAGCAGGAAGTGAGTATCAGAGCTAAAAATGGAGACAAAAGCTAAGAGCCCACAATTGAATGTGGTTTATTTGTTTGGTGACATTTTTTCAAGGAAATTCAAGGAAAAGGAAATGAACAGTCAGGAAAAATCAGATGGGAGATCTTTTAATACTTTGAAAACATCTCTTTGCAGTTTTATAATGTTGCTCTTCATGTACAGTCAATTAATATGAAAAATTCCACTAAGATTTGAATAAACTATAGCTAAACTTGTGATTGTTTGGTCTAAAAAACATTCATGGCTCATTCATGTCTCATGGTATCATAGGTACCATGCATAGGTGTGGCGAGCACACAAGGATTTAGTCCCGACCTGTCTCTTCCCTAACCATGTCACCATTACTACTTCTGGTTTATAATGTGTGCTCAGTGTCTCCTGCCCAGCTCATGACTGTCATTTCCTGTTTGATTTTACAGGATGAGGAGACAAAGGAGGACAAGGAGATGGCCCTCCCATTAGATAAGAAGCGTAAACTTCCAGACTGGATGGTAGAGGGAGCCACTGCCAAGAAAGGACCAGGTCCAAAAACGAAAGGGCAACTGAAATCTGGTATGTTTCATGTACAAATTCTGAACATGCCTGTTTTTATCTGAGTCCAAACAAATTGATTTATTATATTTCTCAGGACTGTTTTGTGTATGATATCAAAAAAAGGATGATTAGGAAAAGGCAAAATTTAGGTTTTGTTCATGTTGGAGAGTAACTATACTACTAAAAATAACAAATCTTGAAAAAAATATAAAAATATTAGACTGCAGCAAGTTAGATCCATAAAATTTGTTGGTAATTATTGAACATTCACCATTTTTAGTCTTTGAACATCAGATTTTAAGCAAGGGTAATATTGACACAGTGACAGTAATCCTTACAAAGGGAGACAACAGAAGACTTTGACTTTATGTCAGCAAATGATAGGTTGACGGACTTCACCAAGGAGTGAAAGGGCTGGCTGTAAATTAAAATTCTCCTGAAATTTTCTCAAAATTTTGTAATGCCGTTGTTAATTGATTCTCTTGAGTATCCAAAGATGTTGGGTTTGAAGAATCTTTTTACAGAGCAGTATATTTTAAATTATGAAAGTCCATTCAGTTTATATGTTTATCTTTCAAAAAGTATGGCTAAGGCAAGTACCGCTTCAGGATTTTTTGGTAGGTGTTCATTGTTTTCATTTTCTTTGTTGTAGCTCCTTCAGAAAGAAAAAAGAAGGAAGAGAGTGAAGAGGAAGAAGAAGAAGAGGAAGAGGAAGAAGAAATACCAAAAAAGAAAGGCAATAGAAGAAGGAAAGATGAAAGTGATGAAGATTTTGATGAAGAGGAGGAGGAAGAAACGCCCCAGAGAACAAGAGGAAAGCGCGGTAGGGGAAGACCAAGGAGAGGGGAGGAAAAAGACGATGATGATGATGACGATGACAGTGATGAGGATTGGGATGAAGAGGACATAAAACCCACAAAACGACCAAGAAGACGACCCACAAGAAGAACGCGAACCCTGAGAAAACGGGGTGGCAGCAGTGAGGAAGACGATGATGAAGAGCCTTTATCACGCAGACGTCCTTCCAGGAGTGCTTCTTTGAAAAAGCCCATGTACAGTGAGTAAAATATTTGGCAAACAGTTACTTTTAAACAAGAAGGGTGTGTGTGTGTGTGTGTGTGTGTGTGTGTGTGTGTGTTTTTAGGTGCTAAACAAACAGTTAACAAATGGTGTAGAATTTTATTTATTGTTGCGTTCATACTTTTGGTCATTGCTAGAATCAGTCCAGAGTTTGTATTAGTGCATAAAATATAAATTTTATTAATAGATTATGAATTTTAGATTTCATGATTGTCACAATCACTTTTCTAATTTTTTGGCAACTCCTACTAGGCAGAAAATAAAACAGAACAGAAATTCATATTTTACTTACCACATATTTGCTAAGTGTACCTTATTATTACAGCTGACGATTTCATTGTGAGTGATGAGGAACTGAGTGAAGAAGAAATTCCTCCTCGCAGACGTTCCAGTAAAGCCAACGAGGACAGTGACTACGTGATGGAGGAGGAATCCGGCAGCGACTGGGAGGCAGAACAGTCAGGGAAGAAAAAGGTATACCATGATGAAAGAAAAGTAGAGTCAATCTTGATTACTTTCTGGTATGCCATTGTTAGGAGGAGAAGACAAGATTGTTAACAAGGTCCTGTTTTAAAGTTACAGAGCCATTCCATGATCAGCTTCAAATTTGTTGTTTAGTGCTCATGTACAATTGATATTTTTTTTTTCTTGACACAAAGAAAACAGCCTCTTAAAATTTTAAGAAGTTTGATAATGTTAAAAATTTAATTTACTCTCCTTTATTGGTATTATTTTTATTGAGCAATGTATTTTGCAACATTTATATAAGGACTTGCTAAAAAAAGCAACTTTTACTCCAGCTGGCTAATGCACATATTGACATTTCTCCTTGATTCAGGGCCGACCTCCGGCTAAATCAAATCGTAGAGGACGGGGAAGGCGTCGACAGAATGACAGCTCTGACTTTGATGATTCTGATGAGGAGGAGTACAAGCCACGTCCAAGTAAAAGGAGGGCTGCAGCAGCAGTAGCAGCACGGAGACAGAAAAAGAAGAAATTTGAATCTGAGTCTGAGGAAGAAGAGGAGGAAGAAGAAGAAGAAGAGGAGGAGGAGGAAATGGAAAACTCTGAGGAGGAAGAAGAGAAAGTTAAAAAAGGTCAAAAGAACCAAAAGAAAAATGGTAAATCAGGAAAGAAGAGAAGACCATGTTTGCTAGGAAAAGCATGTCACAAGTGAGTTTTACTTTAATTTTTGGAACCCTCATTGAAATGAGACCGAAAAAGGAAAAATACAAAATCATGGAAAACATTATTTTGGGGGCAACAAATGACTGTACTGGCAATCTATAAATTTAAAGATCTCATGTAAAGATTGTTTAATTTTACAACTTGTATTTCATGATATTTGTATTTATAAAAATTATATGTAATACATTTGTACTACAACTTAGAGTCGCCACTATATCTGAGATCTCAGTAGCAAGACTGATCCATTTTCAGCAGCATTTATTTGTAAACTGACTCGCACTTGACTGTACATTTTTCATATTAGAAAAAACCCAGGCCACTTTAATGAATTCTGCCATCCCGGTGACTCTGACTATGGCAGTGATGGAGAGGAGGAGAGTGAAGACAAAGAAGAGGAAGAAGCAAATGAAAGCACAAGGTATATTACAATAGATTTTAATAAGGCTACATTCACAACAAGTTGATCCTGGAACTAGTCAAGTATGGCGTATTCTTGACAATGGATTCTCAAATCCCATTTGGCCATCTCAGCAGTGAGAGAGCAATTTTAAAATTTTGGCACAGTTTTAAGTGGGCCACACCATATTTGATCTGCAGACTGGTTAGTCCATGGATCAACTTGTTTTGAATGGGGCCTAATACAACAAAGAAAGGACACTTCTTATTCTGAGCTTAGTTTTTATCATTTACTGTTACACAGTCACAACTGTCTTCCAAATATGGGCATGTGTAAATATCACCATTTTAAGTTTCAAAGTTCATGTTTTGGTAAAGATTAAAAAGAATCCTATCTGTTGACTAAATTGCAAACTGTATCTTACTATCAAGAAAGAGTCCAAAATGGGAAACATTTTCCTAAATCTGTAACCGTGATTTGATCCCAAGTTCTCCACGAGAAAAAAGGCAAGCAGTATGTGGGCATGTACGTGTGTTTTCTATACATTAACTGTAGAAATTAGAATTGTTTATTTTTTCTTTCTTAATAGGAAAACCCCACAGAAGACTAAAGGCAATAAAGGTAACAGTTAATATTTTTCATCGCACTGTAGTACCTCTCTGAATTTCATTGTATGATATAACATCATCATCATAATCCTTTTCCTCTTGGGCCAAATAGAGACATGCCCAGAGTTGTTTCTGTTTCATTACTCCTATTCCCTCATTTGGCACAGACCAGTGGCATTCATGATGGTGACTGAATGGTAGTATGGCAGTTGTTGCTTTTGAATTCTTGAATCTAAATTGTATGAATTTTACGTTTTTCCTTTTCTGTTTCCAGACAAAAAAGGAGATGAAGAAGAAGAAGAAGAAGAAGAAGACCACGAAGATGATGGCAAAGAGGATGAGGAGAATGAGCCTGAGGATCAGGGCAAAGAATCGGATCCTGAGGAGCAGGAAGGGTCTGATTATGACCCAGAGGGAGAGGAGGGGGATACTAAAAAACTTAACAAAGAGTCCAAAGGCAAAAGCAAAAAGGCAGTAAAACCTGTTCGAACAAAGTGAGACAATGGGAAAACAGGAACTTGACAATGCGATTTTTGGTAACCTTGTGTTACTAAATCTTCACAGGTGGAATATTCATCATGAATGTTGTCAAGGGCTTTTTTTTTTCAACATTGATTTCTATGTACATTAAGCTCGAAACAGCTGCAATTCCAAACATTTTCAGCATCTCTGCTCTTGAAAAGAAGCCCAAATTTTACACAAATTCTGAAAGTCGACCATTGCCCCTGAGCAGGTGGCTCGCCTTACACAAGATTTTCAGTTATCAAGAATTGTTTATTTTAAAATTTCCTTTAGAGCTCTCAAGCTCAGGGTGGCAATCAATAGTTTTTACATAATTTCAAGGGTATTTTTTTCAATTCCCCTGGTGCTGCACAATAACCCTAAGTAAGAAACACCAGCATTTCACAATGACATATGTCAGTAATGGTTAGACGTATGCTTCCAGTTTTAATTGTTGTACATGTCAAATTTATTAGTCTGTATGTTATTCTTAGAACCAAGAATTATGATTTGTCTGTTGTAAATATTTGAGCTAGGTTGTCATTTTTGGGCAATTTCTGATGCTCTGCATATTTGCTTTCATTTTATTCCTTTCTCCCAGTTTTACATGACAGTTTATGAAACCTTCTGTGTTTTAAGTCTGCAAACAACTCCTAGTTTTAAGCATTTCCAAAATGATGTGCACCCTTTATATAACAGTTTCAAACAGTATTTTATCAGAATTTATAATATTAAATCATATCTGTTATGATCAACAACAAGATAAGATTTATGTGTGGGTCATTCCACAAAAAAGTTATTTGTGTCATGGCAGTATCTTAAATTACTGTTGATTTCTTTCCATATTGGAGGGTACTATTATAGCATAAATTACGAAAATAAGTTGGGATAATGCAGATATTGTACAAAATATGTGCATCACTGACCTGATGCAAATGTCCATTTTTTTGTGGAATAACCTGCCTACAAAATAGTTGTTGTTACATTTGTGGAATATAACAGAAGAGATTTAATGCACGTGCCTATACATTTTTATTGCAGATTGAAGTTTTGACCAGTCCTGTGGGTTTTAGGTGATAGACTAGGTAGATATTATTTCAACAGCACCTTAGAGACTATTCCCAGGGATATCGTACTAACTTTGGATTGATCTATCTCCAAGGGGATTCTCACTGTATTGCTGTCAACTTAAGCGGCTTAATGTCTGTCACACCTACTAAAGTTGTTAGGGGGTAATTAACTTCTGGAGGCTGAGTTAATTACCCCATAGCTGATTCGAAAGGCGTGACAGACATCTAAGCTGCTTAAGTTGGTAGTGATTTAACGTGAATCCCCATGGAAATACACCAATCCTGTTGGATCGATCTAGGCATGGAAACCCAGTCTTGCATTTTTCCATTTCCTGCAGCACTTCATCACTGGTGAAAATAAAACTGTAGAAGGCTACCCATGATTTACAACACTGCCTTCATTCAAAATGTATGTTGGTGTTGGCAATGTGTTCTTGACTACCAAAAGCTACCATTTCCCCATCAAGCACAGCAGAACCAATCTTGTCTGCTGCCTTGTCATTTTGGGTTTGTTTCTGTACATCTGTCCGTCCATTGGTCAAAATTGTGCCCCCTACCTGTGAACTTTCTCAAATGAGAAGTTCTCTCCTAGCAATTGTTCATTCTTTTCTTTAAGCAAGTTGTTATTATTTCATTTGAAGATGACCAAAGCAGTTAAACTCTGTGAGGTTTGGTAGCTTTTGTAAGCAGTCAAGATGTGGTGTTCTTTGCCTATGAAGCTCCCAAATAACCCTGTTGTATGAACTTTTTGGGCAGCAACTTCATGAAGTAAAAGGACCAAATTAACAAGCCTTGCTAACTTAAGTTGTTTTTTCAATACTTATGATGCTCAAACATGGCTTCCTTTTGTACTGCAGCTTTCTCCAGTAGAAATTCTGGTTGTTTTTGTATTTGTAAATAGTCATACATGGGCTTTTTTTAATTTTACACAATTCTAAAGTTTGCATCTGTACCATGTAATACTTGCCTCTTTCTAATGACAAACATTTTATTTGTAATTATACTGACAACATTTATTGCATTATAAGGTTTCTTTTGATAGACCTTTTTATTGTATAAATATTTTGCTTAAAATGGTTTGAAATGTTCTTAAGTGAACCAGAGCTGTATACAGAGAGACATTATCAGTGCGTTGATTCAAACTAGTCGTTATTTCAGCAGACGATCAGTATTGTCACCATGTCTTGTTCAGTTCCAGGAGGCATAAGACGATATCGAATGACATTTTAAATATTGTGCCGGGAGACGGGGGTTCCATCTTTAATGTAGCTGTATTGTAATATGCTTAGTTTGTTTTGGTGAACCTCTTGAAGAAAGTTTTGGTAAATGAGGCCGATATAAATCTGTAGTTTTTCAATGTGGCACATGCAAGAATCATATAAATGTAGTCTGTAAGGTCAGTGCTAGGTTATCATAGTGGAATATATATTTGTAGTATAGACAAATAAATGTACATTTCGTAGTACCCTTCTGTGTCAGACTTGTTATTGCATAAGTAGTGAAAGCTTTGTTTTTTTAATATGAAAAATTCAAAGAATTTCTACCTGAAGGAAAACAAGCCCAATATTCAGAGAAAATTATATTCAACTGCTGCATAGTTTTTTGCCAGCAGGGAAAATATGTGAAACGAATGTGTAAGCTGTCATCACTATATTAAGCAGACATTCTAGCACTAGAAAGACAACAATGAATAAACTCGTTTATTCATCTTGCTCTTCAACAATGCCTTTCACAGTCCCAAACTAAACATATAGAACCTGATATGTATGTTAAAGGAATAACTATTTCAATGAAAAAAGGCTAATTTTCTGGGCACAATTCTGTTGCATCATCAAAGTCATTGTGAATATTTTTTGTGAAACTTATGACATCCACCAGCATGTGTTGGGGTATTTCTGACCCCCTGACTTGGACAGTGTAACACGCAGACTCCACCTTCTGCAGACTCTGCTTCAGTACCGCCAGCTTCCTTGGCAGTTCACGGGCAACGTTTCCAAACGATAGAAATGCATCGTGGATCACACGCATGAAGCTGCAGAGAGTAAAAGGGAGCTCCAGGTCTCCAGTGCCTACACTGTTTATAGCCATTCGCATAAGTTCTCCCGTCAGGTCAGCAATACCTAACACATAATCCATGGGGCTCACATACACTTCAGCTAACTTCACGGTGTTTTCAGTGCTTGTGTTCTCAGCAGAAGGTGATCCTGATCTTGTTGATTCCTGAAAGTAAGATAAAGCTGTACACCAAGACTATGTATCGACATACAATTATTTACATTTTGCTACTGGCACATGTATAAGACCTAAAAATTCTAAAAATCAGATGTATAAAGTTTATTTTTAGTTTATTAGCAAATATGTTTCTCAGTCCAAAAAAAGGATGTTAACAAGAGGCGATAATAAAACATCCCTAATGCAAACAAGAACTTTCCATTTCACTTACTGGATTTGTAAGATTTGCATTCAAGTCAAAGACTAAGTCTTTTTGCACTTGTTCCAAACTGACTAAAGTTCCATCCCTGAGATAATGGAAAAAAGAAACTGCTTCAATGTATTCTTGAAGACCTAGGAAGTAAAAGTAATCATTGAATAACCTCTGAAACATATAAAATGTCACTTCAAATCAGAAGTACTCTATTATAATTACAGAAATACCAGGGAAAATGTTAATGGTCTTCAGATAACATGATAAAACAGACTCATGCTTGACTAAGAAATTAAATAACGAGATTTAATCAGGTGCAAAGTCAAGTGATAAAAGTGTACAGATGTGGGTCTAAACTAGTGAAGAAATCTCGTTATTTTGCCTCCAAGTCAAAAATAACTTATCATTTCGGTAAAGTTCACAAAAAAAATGAAATATATTAATACACTGAATAAAATGAAAGAAAATTGAATTTGGCAATCAGTGAAATACATCATTTGATAATATTTACCTGGGGAGATTGCTCTCAGAAATTGATGGACATCTTCATTTTGCAATTCAGCAGCAATTGGTTTGAACTTGGTCAACTGTATCTGTCTCAATTTATCCTCTGCCTCCTCCATTATATGGGCTTTTGATTCACTCCTTGAAAGACATGATGAAAATTAAACCTTTTAATTTTAAATGTGCTCTACAAATCAGTTTTTATTTGAATTTTTATCGCACATGTAACAGTTTTTGTTTTGTAATTATAATTTAAGTTTCTACAGTGATGGGGCATTGGGGGGCATCACCTACCCTGTAGATCTGTGTAGCAAGAAAATCGTTCTCTTGCTGTCGATAGTAACGTCCCTGCTGAGTTTGACAAGTCTTTCATATTTGTCATGCCTTCCGTCTAACTCACTTTGATACTGCTTGAATGCCTTGAAGACATTAGAGTTCTCATCAAGCTTTGGCACGTTCTCCTCGTCACGCTTTTCTCCCGAATTTGCATGCTTGTGTTCAGTCCGTCTCCCTCTTCTACTACCTGTGTAATACATAAGGATCATATACATAGACAAAAGAATTTTTTTTGTCAAGATTTATTTCCCCACAAAAGTGTTTTTAAATCCTGAAAGAAGTGACAAAAGAAGTTTACCTTACCACGATGTGCCATCTTTGCGAAACTTGCACCTATGTTAATACGAACCAGTAATCTTAAACAAGACAAGCTCCGCCAAATGTTTGATATTCTATCACCACGGCATGTCTGGAACCGCGCAAAATTTAGCAAGGAATAGAATTTACAAACAGGCTCGAAATACGGACACCGTTGAATACTTTAAGACTGTATAACGCCTTCAGCAGCAGATTTAGAGGAGGAGGGGTCAGGGGGTCCTGACCCTCCCTTCGGTTACTGAAAGAATCACACTAATATTCCCCTCTTTAAAAATTTTAACTGACTGATTTATAGTTCTTATCTGTTCCAAATGGCACTGTTTGACCTATAACCCCCCCCCCCCAAAAAAAAAAAAAAACATACATTAGTTAAGAATTAATGATGACAACAACTTATTGCGTGTCATTATCATAAAGTCTGCGTCGTCAATTATATTTCTTGTCTTTTTTGCTTTAAAGTCTTAAACATGATACTTAGGCGGGGATGGTCATTGATCTCTATCCTTTACCAAATACTCAAAAGATCAAAATTGGATTGAGACAATACCTTACCCGGCGTGGCGTCATACATGTCATACAGCCCTTTCATAAAAAAGTTATCTGCTCGTTGGGATTATCAGCAAGAATAGTTTTTTTTTTTCAAAAGCCACATTGACGATATTGCTATATCTAATCATACATTGTACATTTTTTTNCAACAATGTTCTTATTATGTTTTTTGCTCGAAATAATTATCTGAAATTTGCGTTTGATTACTATAAGAGGAAACTCGTAAGTACGGAGGTTGGGCGGGTCAGTCACGAAGCAGTCGGTAGCGTGCTTGGCTGTAAAAAAAATACCTAGTCATCAGCAAACCATGGAAACGGCAAGTCACGAGTTCAAATTCCAGATAACACATGTCAGTTCACCACAACCACGAGCTGGCCACGCAATCGAAAACGAATGCAGGCATTCGTGTGTCCCAGCAAATTACCTTTTGCATAAAAATCCGGTATGGTTTAGAATTAGTGATCTATTTTGACGACAAATTATTGCTCGACATTATCATAAAGGCTGTGTCGTCAATTATATTTATTTTCTCTTTGCTGTAAAGTCTTTAAAATGATACTGAGGTGGGGATGGTCATTGATCTCTATCCTTTACCAACTACGTAACAGATCAAAATAGAATTGAGTCAATACCTTACCCAGCATGGCGTCATACAGCCCTTTCACGAAAAAAAAGCTATCTGCTCGTTGGGACTATCAGCAAGAAAATCTTTTTCAAAAGTAACATTGCCGCTATTGCTCTGCCTAATCATACATTTTGTTTTTTTTGCCCCCCCCCCCCTCCTTTGGCCTTGCTTATCAAGACTGTACATATATTTACACAGTACCCGGGGCAACTCCACAGTGGACGTTTGAAATGGCAAAGACTACTCACAACTAAAACCGCCAATTTGTGAACCGCTTTGGCTCTTATCGTAGTCTATAACGTCACAGGTGAAGTCAAACGTAAACTCACTGTAAAACAAAATGAAAACTAGAAAAGCACTCAATAAGCGCAGACCTCAGCCAAGGCAGCAAAGTCTCCATCCAATGCCGTTTCACCCCTAAATTGTCATCCTATAATGATTTAGTATTTTATTATTGATTATTGATTGATTATTAATCCGGATCACCACCAAAAACTAATGATATTTTTCTGAAAATTCGCTTCGTTGCAATTGCATGAATGGAAAGCGCATCAGCTTATGAATATTTAAACCTTTTCTTACGATTCCCTCTTCTAATGGGGTTGCTAAAACTAAAACCGTCCCATTGTGCTCTTCAACGTCATTGGTGAAGTCAAACTAAATCTCAGCATAAAACAAAGTCATAGTAAAATAATAATAATAATAATAATCTATCTAGGAACGCTCCGTGTCGGCTTTTCAAATAAGTGCTCGTCTACATGATGAATTTTAACAACTTTATGATAATACCGTGTTCGCAGACTGGCGATGCACGGGATGAACTACATATGCACGGCTCACGGCCTATTGATTATTATGGCAGATACACATGTATACATGTACAGCCAATCTGGTCCTCTCTGTGAGAAAGTAGAAAGTTTCCATTTGACACGTTCCCTATCAACGAAGCTGCTGTGGCCTCGTGGTACCTACGCCGTCTTGGGCACAGTTAGACACTTCTACGCGGGTTCGAATCCAAAGCTTTTCAATGAGACTTTTTTGCTCGAAATAATTTCTAATAATTGCATTTGATTACTATAAGAGGAAACTCGTACGTACGGAGGGTGGGTGGGTCGGTCACGGCGCAGTCGGTAACGAGATAGGTTGCAAAAAATACCAAGCCATCAGCAAACCATGATAACGGCAAGTCACGGGTTCAAATCCCGGATAAAGCATGTCAGTTCACCTCAACAACTAGGTAGCCTCGCAGTCCAAAACGAATGCAGGCTCTCGTGTGTCCCAGCAAATTACCTTTTGCATAAAATCCGGTAAAGGTTAGAATTAATGACCGTTAACATAAAGTCTGCGTCGTCAATTATATTTCTTTTTCTCTTTGCTTTCTCACTCTTTAACATGATACTTAGACGGGGATTGTCATTGATCTCTATCCTTTACCAACTACTCAACAGATCAAAATTAAATTGAGTCGATACCTTACCCAGCATGGCACCATGCATGTCATGCAAGCCTTTCATAAAAAAACTCTCTATTCGTGAGTATCAGCAAGTAAAGTTTTTGTTCGAAAAGTTACATTGCCGCTTTTGCTTTACCTAATCATACACTGTACATTTTTTGCCCCCCCCCCCTTCCTCCTTTGGCGGCTTATCAAGACTGTAGCCTACATATATTCATAGAGTACCCGGGGCAACTCCAAAGTGGACGTTTGAAATGGTAAAGACTACTCACAACTAAAACCGCCAATTTGTGAACCGCTTTGAGTCTTACCGTGGTCTATAACGTTATAGGTGAGGTCATAGAAGTAGAGAAGTTTTCTCTACTTCTATGGTGAAGTCAAACGTAAACTCAGTGTAAAACAAAATGAAAACAATAAAGACTTAGTGCCTTAGATATATATCTTATAAAACTCTGTTAACATGTTTATTTAATTCTTGTATGTAAAAATAACTCAAGATTTTAAAGATTCTGTTGTAAATACCTGAATATTATATTGGCTTTATACGTTTTAAAAAAATTAAAAAATTAAAATAACGACTATCAACGATGTCCATTTTTTTCACGTCACATTAATAAAATGACTAGTCTAGAATAGTCAGTGGGTGGATTTTCGTCAATGTTTATCAAAAGAACAAACAGTACAAAATCAACAGTTACTTATTCTTGCCATAGAATATAGGGAGCCTATCTTGTAAAGCAAACAGTGCACAGTTCCGCGGGTTCTACTTCCTCTAACTGGGTTCTTTTTGCTCCCTCTGGACTGGGCTCCATTTCTTTAATAGTCTTTAACATGACAAGAATAAACAATAATCTAAAAACTAGTGTTTTCGGCCATAAGGCCAACCGGACGTTCCACCTAACAAATTCTCATCATATACCACTTCAAAACTAGTTGTTTGAGAAGTGAGCACCACGTTTAATACATCTTTCTCAATGCGTTTCCAATACTTTTTCGGCGTATATCCGTCCCTCATTGAACGACACACCGTGACGATTTTAGGAGCGCCGTAAGTGTCTTGGTGTAAAATTTCTCGAAGTTGTCGCGTCCTTTCGTCAATCTCTGGCAAGTTTGGCGTATGGAATGAAACCACAGAGTCAAAGGGTGTGTTTGCCCCATGACAGATTTTAAGTATGTTACCCCCTTGGTGGAATATTATAGAATTAGGCGAAGTAATCAGGCAAAAGCCGACACTTCTCAGTGTCTGTAGCTGAGCTGCAGTCAATTTCGCCAAATGTTTAACAAGCTTTTTGGCGGTATATTTGATGCCATTGTGCTTAAATTGCTCTGAACAGAACATTTCTGATATTGGTTCTTTAGTGTAAGGTTCATTTTGTACTATCTTCATGAATTTCGGTACGACTCCATCCACAATCTGTGGGACTGTGTCTCCGCAGCTATTGCCAGTATTAGAGGTAGCTCTGTTGCATTGCTCTACAATGATAGCAATCAGCTGCGTTAAAAGACCGTCTGCTTCTTGTTCGTGATAAACGCTTAATGGACAGATCATTTCTGACACAAGATCGTCAATTCTTTGCACCAAATCCCATTTTATTCCGGAATTCAACAGAACTTCTGCTCCGCTCTCGCAGCCATAGTAGTCTTCGTCAATATCCAAAACAAGCCGCGATCCGGGTTTCACCAAGGAACCGTCTTTCATCATGCGTACAGCAACGTCGTCCCTTACTTGATAAAATGTGACAGAATTTTTTATGTGACAATGCGAAGCCGGTATTGGAATAAATATATCGTCAGACTGTGACTTTGCGTCCCTCGTCGTTTCTTGCTTTTGCCTGGAACTCTCAAAATGATCGTAGTCCGCATACATGCAGTATCTCTGTCCGTTTTCCACCTAAATATATGGCAAGATGGTGTTCAGGATTCTTGAACAATCAATTTATCATTTATTTAATCTTTAGTTTTAGAACGATAAGATAACAATCATAACAATCAACCATTTCGCTTCGTCGGCAAATAATCTGTAAAAAAAAATAAATAAAAAATACGATTCTCAAGTGACATGTTTCATCTGAAGCTAGTACATAGAGTACATATTGTGATTTATCAATTAGTCAAATCTAAAAAAAAAATCGGAGTCCCATTCAGAAATGCAATATTAACCTCGCACATGCAGAACTTCTTTTCTATCTCCCTAGTGGTAGCAGACTTCAACCAGAACCAGCCGACGTCCGTCTCGGAGACCTCGTACCATAGGGTAGAATTCGGGTGTTCCTGCTCGTTGTTCTTGTCCCAGGAGGGCCATATCCACACCCAGCTACTGAACAAACCGGTCGATATGGCACCCTGTTGGTGGACCAGAAGAAATTTGGAAGAAAAGATTTAAATTCTTCAAATGAAACATATACAAACGCCTGTTAATTCATTCGAGTGCAAGTATAAATCATGTAAGTGTTGGATATAAAATAGACACTCTATTGGTAATATTCAAATAACCACAACTTAAAATTTATTTTTAAAAAAATGTTTCTATGGCCACATTTGCGCATAACAGAGTCCCATTAAAATGTTAGCATTCAGTAATCCGAACCTCATTGGAAATGAAACAAAAAACAACATATTTGTGTTGTACAAACTTAATCTGACAGTTTAAATATAATATAAAACTGTAAAATATTTATAATTAAAGCTTGAAATAATTTTACTGCATAGAAAATAATTAAAAGTAAACCACAGAATTTATTTTACGTTTTAGAGGGAATCCCATTCATTCTAAAGATAGAGCAACATGAATGCATTACCCCTGGAAGAAAATAACGTCAAAATATTTCTCATTTTACCAATATAAAAGCGTCATTTCTCTGCAGCATTGCCGCTAGCTCCTTAGAATTTCTTGGTCGATGGAAGAACGGGAAATCCTCGATCAACTCCGGCGGTGCGTTGTCACTGTGACCGTCTACGTGAATCTGAAGAAAATCACAGTAAAC